CTTTAATGGAAAGAAACTAGATCAGGGCAGGATTCTGTTCTGAGGTGTCCCATTGCTTCTTTATTTGAAACTAGAAAAATATTCCCTTATTTAACACGAAAACATTTTGAAAGCTGAATATAACTTTTAAGTTAATAATGCTTAAGTATAAGTCTAATAAATAGTAATAAAAACAAGGTTGGGTAGAATGGCGATGAGGGGCAGGACAGAGAAAAACAAAATAAAAGTTTGTTTATTCTTGTAAAACCAAGTAACCTTTTTTCCCTAGGGAGTCCTTTACAGTTTGAGTGAAAACAAAAATATATATTTTTTATTAAAGTTAGAGAATAAAAATGAAAGTAGGATATTTTCTTATATCTAATTATTTTTTTTAATGTTTATTGATTTTTGAGATTGAGAGAGACAGAGCAAGAGCAGGGGAGGGGCAGACAGAGAGGGAGACACAGAATCCGAAGCAGGCACCAGGCTCCAAGCTGTCAGCACAGAGCCCGACGCGGGGCTCGAACTCACAAACCATGAGACCATGACCTGGGCTGAAGTCGTACACTTAAATGACTGAACCACCCAGGCGCCCTTAAAATTTTTTTTAATGTTTATTTATTTTTGAGAGAGAGAGAAAGACAGAGAGTGAGTGAAGGAAGACGCAAAGAGAGAGGGAGACACAGAATCCAAAACAGGCTCCAGGCTCTGAGGTGTCAGCACAAAGAGTCTAACTCATGGACTGTAAGATCATGAGCTGAGCAAAAGTCAGAAGCTTAACCTACTGAGCCACCCAGGTGCCCCACTACATCTAATTATAGACTTATTAATGTAACTAGCTTGCCCACTTGGGGTTAAAAGGTGGATAGATCATGTCTTCTAGCTCTCAAAATCTTGCTAAAATGAAGGAAAATAAATTTTCTTTGTTAAATTACTATCTCACAAGGACAAGGAGAATGGGCTTGGTGACAACAGAGGACAAGATATTCCAATGCATTTTTCTAGGATGGAAAGCAGATGCAGAATGTACTGAGCAGAAGCCCCAGACCGTGGGTCTGAGAATATGAGGGCCAAAAGGGAGCCCATTCACCCTGCAGAGCCCAGGGTGCCCCACGAGGGAGAAGTGAAGTTAAAAAAAGCTCAAGAGACAGAATTCAGATCAAATCCACAAGTCCCTCCCCACATTCACACATGGCTCTGCCAGTAATTAAGTTCCCTCTGAGACTAGCAGAGAAAGAGAGATTTATTTTCCAAAGACACTGACAGAACCAGAAAGACTCAAAGTGGAGTGTGGATGAACTCCTGGGAACTCAGTGAATGTCTATCAACTGAACTAGCTCCCTGAGCCGGCTGTGTCTACGCTGCTCCCCACATTACAGCAACAGAGAAAAACAGTCAAGATACTGGAGTCGCAGTCTCTGGAAAAAGCTTAGCTAAGAACTTTGGGGTTTCCAAAGGAAAAATGTCACTATGTTCTAACAAAGTCTGTAGATGACAGCCTTAGCTAGAACTCAAAGAGCCTTTAGTGGCCTTTTTTAGTGTCTTTCTCATAAGTATTAAGGGACAGCCTCGAATCAACAGGCATTTGAGAAAAGTCTCCAAAAGGAAAGAGAAACTGAAAAAATAAAAAGAATTAAAAAAAAATAATAATATGGACCCAGAAGACAAAGACACAATGCAGGGCACTGAAGAGAAAAGTCTACATTATCCTAAGGGAGAATAAAATCAAGATTCCATAAGAATGAAATAAAGAACGAAATAAAAGTTGAGGAACTTAAAAGATGTAAAAATCAAAATTAAGGGGCGCCTGGGTGGCTCAGTCAGTTGGGCGGCCGGCTTCGGCTCAGGTCATGATCTCACGGTTCATGGGTTTGAGCCCCGCGTTGGGCTCTGTGCTGACAGCTCAGAGCCTGGGGCCTGTTTCAGATTCTGTGTCTCCCTCTCTCTCTGACCCTCCCCTGCTCACATTGTCTCTTTCTCTCAGAAATAAATAAAATGTTAAAAAATTTTTTTTTAAAAATCAAAATTAAATATTCAATAGAAGCACTAGAAACTTAAAGAAATAACTTAAGTAGAATAAAGAGACAAAGAGCTAAAAACTAAGAGAATAATTATTTTTAATTAGGAGATTATTTGGTATAGAGATCCAAGACTAATAGGAATTCTAGAAACTAAATTAGGGGAAGGGAGAAAAGTAAGGAAGAAATAATGCAGGAAAATTTCCCAGGACTGAAGTTTTAAGTTTGTGTCATTGAAGTGTATGCCTAGTTCCAACCACGCTAAATGAAAAGAGACCCATTGAAAGGAGTGCATAGAGGAGACAACCTAAAAGTTTCTAGAGAAATAAAAGAGCTCATATAACAAGTAATGGGAATCAGAATCTCACTGGTTCTGGGATAATATCCTGCAAACCTGGATACTAGAAGACTACAGTAATACCTTCAAATTTGGAAGGAAAATGACTTCCATCTGAGAATACTACACTCACCCAACTACCAACAGAGTACAAGGGTCCCATAAAAATATTTGTGACATGCAAGCATCCAAAAATTAAAAGATCCCAAATGTTCTTTTCAAGGAAAATACTGGAAGATACACTTCAGCAGAACAGGAGTGATGAATCACTAAATTCTACACCTGAAACTAATATTACACTGTATGTAATTTCAGCTAACTGGAATTTAAATAAAAATTTGAAAAAGGAAAAATAGATAAGTGAAAAGCAAGGGAAAAACACAGGACATAAGAAAGAGAGATTCTAATTAGAAAAAGAGAAAATGGAAGTTTCAGGACAACAGCCGTGCAACAGACTTAAACTCACATCCAGTCTACATTTGCAGCAAGCAGCTATAGGAATTGGGTGTCCAAGAAAACAACATTGAGAGTAACTGCCCTGTTTGACCACATGGAAATAGAATAGAGAGGGCTTTTATAACCCTTTTAGAAGATGTGGGAAGAAGAAGTAATAGGGATGTAGAAAAAGAAAACAAACAAAAAAGAAGACAATTATTAACTCCAAGAAAAACAAAAAGGTCTGTGAGAAAGGAAAGGTGATCAACACTGAACAATAATTATACAACAATAATGTAAACACTGAATATTGACTTAACCACAAATTGTGCAATAACTATGGTAGATTGGGAAAAAGAGGAAATAAGAAAACTAAATCCTCAACTATCACAATAGACAATCAAATGCCAGAAAAAGTTAAAGAGAATTAAAAGTGGTCATTTAAGGAAAACAGAACTGGGGATTGCAAAAGGTGTTTTTTTATCTGATTTTTAGGACTATTTTATTTTGTAAACTATTTTGATGTGCAATACTGATTACAGAAAATAAAATATAAAAATTAATAAGTTAAGTTTGATAGAAAATCAAGCTACAATAAGAGATTAACCTCAGTGAATTCAATATAACCAAAAGAAATAATTACAGCTGATCTTAGTAACAAAATAAAATGCAGCATTGGCTATTACTCAGAAATATGGCCTGAGTAGCCATCAAAGATATCATATACCAATACAGAACAAGTCTGTTCCATCCTATTTAATAATATATAGATATAATAAATTGGATTTTTAACAATGCCCATTAACTTATAAGTTAAAATACCTACAGGTTTATAAATAGGAAAAATTCTTAAGGAAACACAAATCTAATTTAGAAAAAGAAAAAATTAAAAGTTCATAAGCTTTTAAGTAAGATAAGTAAATATTTTATATTATATTGAAATTATAATTAATTTCAAATGATTAGGCAGATGTGTGTCCATGGTGAAGATTCACAATTATTTGGTCTCATTTTATATTTCACAAAGTACTGGCTTAGAAAGATTTCCAAGTAACTTTGCATTGGAAGTTATCTATAGAGTTTCTGTTTGGGTTGCTTTTTATGTTTTAAATGAAAATACAATGCTCTCCAAAAAAAAATCTGGACAATAAATCTAATTGTTGTTACTGAAGACACACAGTTGTGGCAACAGTGTATATTTGGAACTGCCTTTATGAGGAATTAGTTTCTTCTAAAACTAAGTGAATCAGCTTTAAAATGTTATAATGTGTCTCTCACATCATTAACATTTAGGGAAGTGATCTCAAAAGCTGAACGCCTAAGGCAATCCACTGGAGGGCACACAGACAAAAAAAATTGAAATCTGTGATTTTTTTAGTGCACCCCTTTATAGTTTATTTGTAGACTGTATGTACATTATGTCAAATCATTGTACAGTGCTATGTGTATAGAATTTAAGTAAGCATATTATACATTGACAGTGTATCACAAAAAAAATGTTTTACTGATGGAATGTCATGAGCAAACAGTATTTAGAGGCCACTGATTCAGTTATGTGTATCCCTACTTATAGTTGGGGAACGATTCATAGTCTATGAGAGGAACAGAGCTGTTCAGGTGTGAAGAACAGCAGAAAGCTAATATACCAGTTTGGCTAAAAAGTGAATTTTAAGTTATGATTGAGAATTATACAATTGTGGAGATAATAATAAAATTTTATCCAACATCAGACCTATCTGCTGCAGTTGAAAATATTTTGATAAAAACTGATGCAGAAATATACAAATTCCTAGATTTTTCATAGCCCTTGATGTATACATGTGTCACCCATTTAGCACAGTCTACGTTAAAAGAGTTCTAAACAATGTGCTCACGTGAAGTAGAGAAAAAAACCTAGGAACCACTGAATTGGGAATTAAATCCTAAAGCATCTTACCAGTACTCTATTCTCTCATATGGGAAAAATGCAGTTCAATCAAGAACTGCACTGGTGACGCCCAATTCAGTAGCCACGAGTCATACATGTCTGTGTAATTTAGTTAAAATTTAACAGAATTTAAGATTCACATCCCCAGTCACACTTGCCACATTTCAAATGCCCAAAAACCCCACACTGCACAGTGCAGATATAGAACATTCCCTTAAGTCCAGAAACTTCTATTGAACATCTCTGCTCTTGAGTCAGATTCAGGAGTTCCTTAATTAAAAACTTGTAGGATTCTTATACTTACTCACTGTTACTTTGTCCTTATCCCCCAACATAATGTTGTTTGGCGTCAGATCTCTGTGGACAATCCTCTTCTCCTTGTGTAAGTACCGAAGAGCTAAGCACAGCTTGAAACAGCAAATAAAAAACAAATTTTATTTCCCCAAATATACATAAAACCGCTGATGACTACTACACACATCTCTAAGAAATCAGCTCAGAAATTTACTGTTGTTTCTAAATTAATGAAAATAAAAGTGTACCTGTATAAATATTTTCCATAGTCTTTCTTCAGTAAAATGATGTTGTTTTTCCTTCAAAGAACTGAAATGCTCTCCAAGAGGGGCCCCTTCTATAAGCTCCATGACTATATACAACCTATCATCTATAAGAAAACAAGGAAAATCTAACAGAAGTTTAAATTCAATATATTTAGAAAAATACATATGAATCAGAATCCGCGCTTCCCTATGTGTACGCAGGGCACAGTGCTGAAAGAGGTAGAGGGGCTAAGATCCACTCAGCCCTACGGGCGGTAAGGGTGTGGGGCTCTCTGGGCACCTGGAGCCCAGTCTCTTCTGGACACAGATGACAAGTAAGTGATGCCAAGCCCAAGGATCATTTCCTGAAGAAGAGGTACACCCACCTTTCCTCTCAGTAGTTTATAAAGTTTTACCCTTAAATCACATCAGACGTTCAGAAAATTGTATTTTACACTGTCCTGTTGTATAGTCTCATAGATATGCCTACCAGAAGTTTACAATGGAGCCATGCCATGGTCAGACAAGGACACAGCCGAAAACACAACCCATGACAGAAATTTCTGTGATGCCCCTCTAGAGCAGAGAGCGCTGGACTTCCGGTGCTTTCATCTTACGGATCCTGGGAATCTCATAACCAACCGACTGTGTTCATCTCTTTACTTTGGATGCCAAGAAACAAGGTAATTCCACATTCTCCTCCAAAACCAAGGTGAAACTATTAACAATGGTAGTGGTAATGCATACTCTGTGATATTGGGGATGCATATAAAATATGTACATACACGATATTTACAAAAAATGAAATCACATGATACATGTGCTGCCACTTATACTTTTCATTCAACAGCCCTACATATGAGTATACACAAATCCATGCAGTTCTTTCTGTTGGCTTCATAGTCTTCCATAACACAGAGGGGTCATTATTTGTTCTCCTAAAGACAGGCATGTATATTGTTTTCAATTTTTCATTATCCCAAGAAGGATTTAGTGTATGTACTAATCTCACCCCTAGCGTCATTTTCCCCTTCTTCTATTAATGGGCTTTTTCTTTTCTTATTGAAGTATAATTAACATACACGGTCATATTAGTGTTGAGTGTACAGTTCTATACTGTACTCATTGCTCATCATGCTAAGTGTGCTCTGAATCTCCTTCCCCTGTCTCACCCATCCCCCATCCTTGAGCTTCATTTCAAATTTTCTGGCCTTTTAGTTCCTTTTATCACAATTCCCTAATCTATTTTGCCATATTTTAGGGATTTTTTAAGCCACTTCCTATTCTTTTTGGAAGCTGTCAGGTTGTAGAAGTTGTATTTTGTTTCCAAATTAGGATAAAGTTGTATCACTTCAGTAGTGCAAGTCAAAAGCCAATCTCCATCTCTAATGAGAAATGCACGAAACTATAAGAAATGACTCCAATGTCAAGAATTCTATTATCAGGAGGCAGATTTACTGGGCAGTTTCAGCACTGAGTTCCTCTGACTCATCTAGGGGAATGGATAAAATCATAATATGCCACAGGTTTGCATAATAATAGCACTTATAAAGAGGCAATGAGGAAGATTTTTTTTAATCTTTATTTGAGAGAGAGAGAGAGAGAGAGAGAATGAGCGAGCGAGCAGGGGAAGAACAGAGAGAGAGGAAGACACAGAATCCAAAACAGTCTCCAGGGTCTGCACTGTCAGCACAGAGCCCAACGCAGGGCTTGAACCCACAAACAGTGAGTTCATATCCTGAGATGAAGCCGGATGCTTAACTGACTGAGCTACTCAGGCGGCCCATGTCTGATAGTGTTTTAAACATGTGACTTGAGTTTGGCTTTATCTCAACCTTTTGATTCAATATTCCATCTTCCTTGCAGCAAGGGCCTCCCTGAAGAATCAGTCAGGGCTCTATTGCCACCTTGTGGTCATTATCTGAACTTCAAGTGAAAGAAGTATCAAAGATGTAGCCACTCCCAATTTATTTGAGGGGTGAAAAATGCCATCTGAGTCAACAAAATCAATTTTTCATCTTGTCTTGAATAAGCCACTATTCTTGAGTTTGCTTTTTCTCCTTTTTAAGGTTTATTTATTTTTGAGAGAGAGACAGAGACAAGAGACAGAGAATCCCAGGCAAGCTCCTCACTGTCAGCTGGATGTGGGGCTGGAACCCATGAACTGTGAGACTATGATCTGAGCCGAGATCAAGAGTGGGACACTGAACTGATGGAGCTACCCAGGTGCCCCCTACTTTGCTTCTCTCCTGATCCTACTATAGTTTTGTGTGTGCAAGAGAGAGAGAATAGCTAAAATAACGACTTGTTTTGTTCATGAGGTGTTTTTCAGGCAGGAGTCTAAGTACTTTATCACTGTCCTTAGGTCACTGATTATACCACCGCTTCACTGACAGAGAGATGCACAACATCTTCTACAAATAGAATAATTGGAAAAAAAAAAAAAAGAATTGATCGAGCTTATTTTGTGACATTCTAGAGGAAAAATATATAATATAGATACTTTCCCTTAATTAGAAATATCATAAGGGGTCCCTGGGGGGCTTAGTGGGTTGAGCATCCGACTTTGGTTCAGGTCACGATCTCACAGTTTGTGGGTTCGAGCCCCGCATCAGGCTCTGTGCTGACAGCTCAGAGCCTGGAGCCTGCTTCGGATTCTGTGTCTCCTTCTCTCTCTGTCCCTCCCCCACTCACGCTCTGTCTCTCTGTCTCTCTCAAAAAAAAATAAATAACACATTAAAAACACTTTTAATATCATGAAAACTCATACTTACTTTCCAGAAATGTTTTGTAATAGCGTACAACATTGGGATGATAGAGCTATAAGAAAATAAATAACAAACATTACATTACTTCACATACAAACTTGTTTTCACAATGTAGTTGGACTTCCTATTTGAAAACAAGGAAATTATTGTATTTATATTTATGCACAAAATTAAGCATTTTAAGATATCGTCTGAGATTTGAGGTTTTTATGATTCTTTTGATTTGCTACCTACAAAGCTCATCTGAAAATAGCAATCTCCCATGTAGCCTTTGATCAAATAAAAATGAAAACTGATTGTGTTTTATTACCTAAATTAACATTTTAAGTAAATTTTAGAACTCAAAGTAACCTGAAGAATTCACTTAGCTGTCCGCATCCCACCACCACGCACACACTTCACAGAGAAGAAAACAGAAACAAAGCAATTTATGTGGAATATGTACACCTTTGCTGCCTACCGCGCCCTCCCACTTAAATATTTATATATACCGTTCGTTTCTATTTACACTTTGTGTCTTTCTATGCTCTCCAAACTGGTTAGCATGGAACTAAAATCATCTAAGAGTTACTCCATTTAAATTATAATAGTAGTTGGCAAAGACTCCCTTCTCGGCCAAACTTTAGTCAGGCTTCTCTGAGGCCTCTTCTTGACCAAGGCCTCATTCTTGCCCTGCTTGGTGTTACCAAGAATCCTGCGCTGCCAGTTTGGCAAGCTTCTCCCCATTCGTGATACCCAATCGAGTTCCTCGTCACCCCGTCTCTGAGAGCTAGTGTAGTTCTTCTGAGTAATTTTCCATCTACTCACCCCCCTCTCCCGGCCTGTTGGTTGTAAATCACTAGCTATTGCTGTTGTATTTGGAGTTGAGCTCAGTCTCTCTCCCCTGTTTTAATAGTTTGACTCCTATCTCAATAGTCTTGAGTGAAGTTCTCCTTGGCACTTTCCAAAAGCTTTCAGTGTAATTTCTCTTTTTTTATGGTAATGTTTGTTTATTTTTTCTGAGAGAGAGTGTGTGCAGGGGAGGGGCACAGAGAGAGGGAGAGAAAGAATCCCAAGCAGGCTCCGCGATGTCGGCACAGAGTCCAGTGCGGGGCTCGACCCCACAATAGTGAGACTGTGACCTGAGCCAAAATAAACAACTCAGCTAAACAACCAACTGAGCCACCCAGGTGCCCTTACAATTTCTCTTTGACATAAGTTTATCTCGAGATATGACATGGAAATTCCACTTTTTCAGGACTTTCATTTTCTATAAGAATACTAAAATGCTTATAGTTGCTTTCTCATATTTAAGTTTCTAGGCAAATTGAAATTTATTTTATCTCTGAATTATTGACATTTCATTTCATTTATAAATGGATTGTATCTCTTTTTGGTCCTTCTCCTTGCTCTTTTGAAGGGGAATCTGGAAACTGTCCACCAAACACCTACCCTCCCGTTCCTCCAATGCAGTTGAGTTCTGGCAGAACATGGCTTTTTGGTCTTTCTTCTTGCTCCTTTGAAAGGGAGTTTGGTAACTGTCCACCAAACACCTACCCTCCCGTTCCTCCAGCGCAATTGAGTTCTAGCGGAACATGGCTTCCCAAGACTGTATCTCTCGGCCTCTCTTGCAGCCACGAGAGAGCCTATCACTAAGTTCTCACCAAGGGAATGTAAGGGGAAACATGTGTTCTCCTGGGTCTGAGCCCTAAACATTGGGAACATCCCGACCCTCATGTTCTTCCTCACCCCACTTTGTATGTGAATGTGCCTGTGGCCATTTCACCCGTGGAGACAAAGACAATGCCCTAGGAGATGGCAGCGCAGTACGAGAGAAGAACCGATGTCCCCCAAGTGACCGCATGGAACAGAGAACACTACCAACCTGGCCCACTCACTCTGGGATGGTTACATCAAAGAGAAATGGCTGCTACATTGTGAGGCCTCTCGTTTAAGCCAATGTATTGTGGAGCCTCTTTCTTACTGCAGCTGAGTCTTAATCTTAAAAATATACTCTCCTTTTCTAGTTCCATTTCTGTCACTTCTGTCTGCCATCACCTCTTCCTTTTAGGACTCAGTGTTATTATCCCTTCATTGGTTCAGTCCTTTTGTAAGAGCACAACTGTACAATTTTGAGTTATCTCAAAGTCCAAACATGTGCCTCTTCAATGTCCCCACCCTGATACTTTCTTTTCTTAGGAAACGTGCTAAAACAACATCTACCTCATCAACTGTCAAGTGGCCAGCAGATTTTAGACAATAAGGGGCCAGGTAAGCAACAGAATCCTATTCTGGACCCTAGCTCACCGGCCAGGACTATATCCAGATCGGGGGTCAAATGAAGATACTAAATCAGCAAAAGCCATGCTCCAGCCTTGTGCTAGAGTGAATCAGCACACTGCCGGAGATTGGGGTGTCCTGGACTTGAGCAAACACTGACTTCTTAAAATCCAGCCTATTAGGATATATGAAAGCCAACTGTAAAATAAGCTATTAATGACAGTGTTTACTGTAATTTATGAACTGGAGACTAACTACAGATTTCGATGAATAAAGATCACATATATTTGATGATCGTTATGTCCCAGCACAGAATCTACACAAATTTAACTCGTGGAGAACAGAAAGCAGTGAAGCCGCTAGCTCTCTACAGGAGTTATAAATGAACAGTACCCATAATGAATGTATAAATACGGAAAGCTGAAAAAGAAACCCATGTATTCTTGGATCACAAAATCCAATCTCACTTCTCTTCTGACATGTTTATGCTTTCTCCCCAAACAAACCTTCATAATGATAGTTAATTGAGTTGTTACATTATGTCAGAATATTACACTCATGCCAATAAATAATCGCCCGCCTTGGAAACCTACTTTTAGATTTAATACGCTGTATTTGAGGAATGTTAACAGCTTAATTCCTCTTGACAAAAGTCAGGGAACTGTTAGTCATATGCTTATGTGTGTAACTAAGTAACCAAATATCATACACTGTAACGAGAAGGGAATAGATAGCTTGCAATTTAAAAAGAAGGATGTTTTGTACATGAGGCACTGTCATAAACTCGATCGTTCTGTACCCCAAACCTTGATATAAACTCCAGAAAGTCTTTCTGTGGTTCAGTGTCAAGCCTTAGGGAAAAAAAATCTAACTAAAATATTACCACGTCAATGTCAATTATTTTAAACAGAACCAGTTCTTAAATGGCATGGACAAGAATAGCACAAGAACTCTACTTTCTTTCAATGACATTGAGGTAACGCTATTACTGTCATAAATAAGAAAAGCATTTACCTGCTCTTTAATTATGGTTAATTCAGAAACAATATTCTTTACACTGCTGTCTCGATCTTTTTTATCCTTTCCAAATGCTGGGTTATGTAAATTGACCTCTTTCATTGCTAAAAGATTTTGACCACTACGCTTTCTGACCTAAAATAAAACCAGAAAATAAAGTAAAATAAAGTAAATAATAATGAAGTGGGGGTAAAAAGAGGGGAAAAAAAAAGATAGATTAATAAATCACATGATTAAACCAAGTAACCTAAATAATATAAATATGTAACAGAACTTTTATAATTTTACCTGTGTGTCCACTAAGCTCAACTCAAAAAACTGGTGATCACCCAAGTCAGTCTGCACTATTCAGTAGGATTTTCCTGGGTAACTATAGAAAACTCTGGTATGAATTTAGAGAAAGTGTCATGTACTGGGTCAAGCCATTTTGACTATTGTTTTGGTGAAATATTAATAAAGGCTCTTGTCTTCAAAGACCAGTGACTAATTTCTAGAGCTGAGAGTGGACATAAGCTAACATCAGAACAGCTATATGATGGGCAAAAATCTAACTTACATATGTATTTTCCAATACTGAGGGCACCAATCCACTTGCATGGATGTGTGCAAGCGGGATATCTATCTGGTTTGCTTGGAAAGGTCAGAGAACTGTTCTCTAAGGGCAAGGTCACCTTGTAAACACAGCCGAAAGCCCCACTTCCAAGATGATCCAGAACTGCATAGTTGCCTATGTACTTCAAAGGAGCTTTATTCTGATTAATGCTTTCAATGTTTTCAGCGATTTGCTTCAGCTCGTCGTCCTAACCGAAAAAATAAAAAGGAAATGGGCACTATGATAATCTCCATCCTGCCCACACAGCAGGCTGCCCAAGTATCGAAACTCAGAACTTACCACTAACAAATTCAACTTGGATACCAATTCTTCATAAGCGCTGATGTCACGAACATAATGTCCGATATCGATGAAGATCTCAAACAGGTCAGTGGGGAAAAGCCTACAGGGAAAATGCACACACAAACCCTTCACGTAGTTCTTGGTGACTGTTGTTCATTCCTTCCCTTCGGGAGCTAGCCCACGCACAGATCCATTACACGAAGCAACCTTAGGTCATCAACAAAGCGGGGGCAAAAGTACTCACTAGTGTATCTCACAGAAATGAACAGGAGCTACAGTTCTTAAGGGATAAGGAAAGGCTACCAGAGAGGAAAGTTCCTATACCTGCAGTGTACAACACCATGCTGTATACTTGAAAATTTGTTAAGAGAGCAGATCTCATTATGATACAGATTACACAAAGACCTTATGTGTAAGATATTTAGGGGTACAGGCATGAAGCGTTTTGGGAAGGAATGTTTATGGGGTGTTTATGGAGTGCTGAACACTCACATAAATGCCATTAAATTCAGTCCTCCTAGTAACCCTAGGGGGTAAATACTAACCCCATTGTCAAACGTTACATGAAAATAAAATAAAAATACAGGTAAATGAAAAAAACATTGAGAGATTTACGCACCATTTCCAAGGTACCAGTTTCAAGGGCTTAGTAAAATCTTTAAGTCCACAAAAATGAGTGGTTTAGGGACTTAAATAATAGGTGATAATAATTTTACTTGCTTTTCTTCCCTCAAATTCAAGGACTGTTTGTAAACAAAGTAAGAACATAAAGTGTCCCAATGCTTCTGAACAAAAAACATTGTATTAACTTAAGCCTTTATTTCTGCTGCCTTCTATCAAGCGAATTTGAGGAAGAACTTGGGCCTATGATTTTGGCCAGCCTGACCAACATGATGGCATGCAGGCCACACATGTAGGTGACTGTCTGCTTCCCACAGGGGCAATGTTTCTGTCACCTCCACCAGTGCGGCCTCCTGAGCCAACAACACCCAGCCTTTTCCCCTTCAATGAGCTCCTACCCTATAAAGGATATCCTGACAAATACTTCTTTTTCTACTGATTAAGAGCAAAGGACTAGACCAACCACAGAATTTCTGAATGCATAAGAACAAGCACATATTTTTTGATGATGTCATCCATTTAAAATGCTAACATCCAAAAAAAAAAAAAAAAAAGGAAAACTAAAAACCATAGCAACCATGGTAATTAAGAAGAGTTGGATTGATAGAGTGATTCATTCTCTTTCTTTACCATTTGCTTCATTTTCAGTGTTGAGATATCACTAGGGTAAGTCCGTGTTATGTGTGGATTCTAGAAAATCTGAAAACGCGCACTCCACGTAATGGCTCTCTCACTGTTTGCATCTTAATCAGGCATGTGAAAACAGGTCAATCTCATGATTGCTGGTCACTTAAATTTCTCTAAGCTCATACCTTTTAAAGAGTGGTCTGTTTCTTTCCATACTGAATAGAAACCTCAAGGCTCTGAATGCATAACACTGGAAAATAAAAGGTAAGGGGATCTTAAATGGTAGCTCGACAAATCAAAACATTTCCAGGATAAAATTATCAGGGACTAAACAATACAGTGGCTTTACTACTGTAAGTGAGTGGCTGGCCTACATGAGAGCCAATGCTTAGGACTGAAAATGAAACCCATCAATACCTGGGGTTAAGTCTTGTCTTTTAAAAAAGCATGTATGGTGTAGAACTTTATGATGCTGGCCTCGTTTCACTCAGTACTTGCCATTAGTTCCTTTCTAGCAAGTACAAAATGAACAACAGAGACCAGCAGTAAAACTCCTACTCTGAGAAAACCAAACATCCAAGATTTTCGGGAGCTCAAGGTTTATTTTGTTTCTAGCCTGCTATGTATGCCTCAATATTTATATGGCTTCTATGAGAAAATAAACACTCGAAATGATGACATATAAAAATAGCCACAGGCACGTTGGACTCAAACTTGACAAATTGGTCTCTTGAGTAAAGAGTCTTAAGCGTTCCCCAAATAGAACAATCTACAGTAACTCCCAAGAACACTCAGAAAGAGGCCTGTGAGACTTTACCAAAGAAAAATAAATGTCTAAATGTCTGACAGTTTGCTGTGCCAAGAAAAAAACCAGAGCGCCCCCAGCCTGCAGTTGGGCCCATATAATAGGCCACCACTGGGGTGATCTAGAGCTGCTGAACTCGACCGTGGAATCCTTCATAAAATTAGTGGTCTGAATACAGAAGGGAAACAAATAAACTTGCCCAGAGAAGCCCGCACACAACACAATGATGTTAAAGAGCCCGGTGGAGGGCAATGGAGGCAGTGAGAAAGGAGGACACAAAGCTCCTCAAACACAGTTTCAATTTAAAATTGTTAAACCCCTCTCCCGGCTTAACAAAATGCATCTGCGGGCTGGGTTTGATTTAATCTGCTGTCTGGCGTCATGCCCCACGCCTGGAGTGCACCAAGGAAACTAAGTCCCACTTCCGGACGTCGTCGTGGGTGGCTCTCCAGAACTTCTGCCCGCCGGCCCGCAGATAACCACCGAGAATTCTCTGCTTGCTTTGACTGTCGTTCTGGATGAGAGAGCTCTGCAGTCAGACAGGGTGTCTTAGTTCCTTTTCTAAAAGACTTGGTGGGAAACAGGAGCTGCAAGTACTGCAAAGGCTTACCTTAACGCGGATTTTATCTTTCCAGTACCTGCAGGGACACTGGTCCCCTGATACACACAGGACCCTGCAGTAACGTGCCCCCTCCTTACCCGCATGTGAGGCCTCATGCCCTCCCCTTACCACGCACCCCAGCCCCACCCAGCAGCCTAAGCACACTCGAAGCCACCAGGCTTCGCATGCGGTGTTCCCTCTGTGCAGAATGCCTTTCCACCCTGCAGCACATGCCACGGCTGCCTCACTCCCATCTCCTTATTGACTTAGCAAGTCTCTTCTCATCCACCAAGACCCATTTCACAGCTCTTCCTCTGCAAAGGTGAAGTGTTACTGGCCGGGGTCCATGCTTAAAGATCCAAATCAATTGCCTCTTATAATTTTCCAATACATAAGCATTCCATGTTTTGAAAAAAATAGAACTTACTGATCAGCAAAGAGATAAATAAATAAAATCACCTAATTCACCCCCCTCCCCCACCCCCCCCCCACAGGAACTACTATTACGCCTTTTATATTGTTTTTACAGCATTTGTTTTCATGCCAGGCTCCCTCACCAGATATTTTCCCTTCAGTCAGTACAGAGACCAGTGCTAAATATTACAGCTCGTACTACTGAAGTTTCCCCAGATTTCAGTAACTTGATATTGAAGAACAATGGTCATGCTTATTACCTGTAACAGATTGGTTTTTGCTGCATTCTTTTGTTTGTTTGGTAAAATTAACTTTGCTATTGTATAGATGCCATTTTCCTGGAAGAATAAAAGGGCCATGTTATCAGTGACCATGACGATGCCATAAAGATACACAAGCACAAAGAGGCGACTAAACAATCTCAAAAATTAATATCAGAGAAGAAATACTAGTATAATTTTGGAACTTTGTGTAAGCTTACAGGAGAGTATTAAATATGTCAGTGTAGCACCAAAAGACTGAAGTCACCATCTTAAAATTTCAACTCTTTTTAAAGTTATAAATAATAAAGCCTCTCAACTTAAAGTAGTTTAAATACTTCATTTTTTAAATATTTATTTATTTATTTTGAGAGAGAGGGATAGAGAGCAAGCAAGCGAGGGGCAGAGAAAGGGAGAGAGAGCATCCCAAGCAGGGTCCACAATGTCAGCGCAGAGCCCGACGTGGGGCTCAATCCCATGAACCACAAGATCATGACCTGAGCCAAAACCAAGAGCTGGATGCTTACTCAACTGAGGTATCCAGTCTCCCCTCAAATATTTTAAAAACAAAGAGTAGGGGATAAAAAGGGACACAGTAAAGGGATATAAATATCTTTATACTTTGCATTTTAAATATCTAATTATGAAATATAATTTCTCCCTTTATAGTTTCGTAATTAATACACATAGATCAATTATTGTAAAAGAGAAAAAATAAAGGGAAGATGAATGAGATTAAAAAAATTTTTTTTAATTTATTTATTTTTGAGAGAGAAAGCGATAGAGCACAAGCAAGGGAGGGGCAGAGAGAGAGAGAGAGAGAGAAAGAGAGAGAGAGACGCAGAATCCGAAGCAGGCTCTAGGCTCTGAGCTGTCAGCACAGACCCTGACGCGGGACTCAAACCCGCAAACTGCAAGACCACGACCTGAGCCAAAGTTGGACACAAAACCAACTGAGCCACCCAGGTGCCCCAAAAGTAATAGATTTAAAAAATGAAACTTATGCATGGAAAGTCTAAAGTATAGAAAGTTATCCTTCTCTACTCTAATGCAAATATATAAACAGCAGAATGAACAAAAGTGCTAATTTATTGTTACATTTCTATTATCTCTTACATATTTAATTTATTGAACTCTACTATATGTGGGCATTTATATGATAACTATGAAGAGCTTTACCTGCCTTAAGGCATTTAGTCTTTATAGTGATTCTGTGAATTTGTCTAATTTCCCTGCTTTGCATAGGAAAAGCCTTTCCAAATCTTGGAGAGGCTAAGTCATTTTTGCCCCAGTGGCCAAGCCACCAGGTGTTATTACGAACTGAACCTCAATGGGGCCAAGTCCAAATGCCCCCCTGTTCCACCACTACCTCCTGATTTGCCAAGTTTCCCCCTGGGACTCTAAGCATTGGTGACCTGATGATCCCTTACTACCTCTGATGTACTTTGAAGCTGAAGTTGGAGAGTGTATACTACTGTATATGTGGTGGGCTGATGAATGAATGCTTTGTGACACTGGCTTCTGGGCAATAAACATTTTGTTAGTACGTGTTTCAGTCACCTCTGGCTGAACAATGCGACATACTTTTACTTCAAGTAACAACCATCCTCAACTCATAGTATCCTATATGCCCAGAAATAAAGGGATTCAAAATAGCTTTAAAAAAAAAAAAAGATAAAATGAGAAAGACTGCACACAATGTAGGGAATGCACATCACAGATGAAATACAGGGCAATTCTTTCAAAGACAAGTGAGTTAAAGGAGAAGGATAAGAATATAAGGGGAATTCTAGGGGTGCCGGCTCAGGCAGTGGAGCGTGTGACTTGATCTCAGGGTTGTGAGTTTGAGCCCCACGATGGGTGTGGAGATTACTTAAAAATAAAATCTTAAAAAATAATAATAAATACAAAATTAAAAAGAATATCAAATGGAATTCTAGAACTTAAGTGAGATATATCAAAATATGCTGAAAGCACAGCATAGGATCCCCAAAGCTGCGTCCTGGGGGTACAGGGCTCGCCCTGGGGTGTGGCCCACCAGCGGCGATGGGGTCTGCAGCCGGACCCTGGAGAGCGGCGTCCTCACCTGGACCACCTGATGCGCGTTGGTGTCGCTGAGCACCAGCTCGGTGAGGGCAGCACAGCAGGCTGGAAGGAAAACCACCAGATGATCGCGTCTGTCCTCACCGACCGCACTTTACACGGTTTCTTCAATGCTTACCTCCGCAGGGAGTTCTGTGAGCAGAGTCGGAAACAGTACCTTTCCCTCAGGCACGGGCCTGGGGGAGGCGCGGCTGACCTTCAGGGGTGTCCAACTCTGCTCCTCACGTCAGTCACGTGCACCTGCACCCGGGGCGGCCGCCTCGCACTGAGCACTTACTGTGAACCAGGAGGCGGCTTCACTGTGACCCCCAGCGCCCGGCATGCGCCTGGACGTGGCAGGTGCTCAGTAAAGACATCCACAATGGTTGACTAAATGAGAACTTTAAATATGTCATCCAATTAACCCATATAATGCAAGTGTGTTCTATGATTACCGGTTTCCTTGGTGAGAAAACAGGTGCACAGACCTGAGTAAGTGCCAGGGGCTGGAAGCCCAACTGCAGGCGGCCGGGTCTTAAATCCCGCGCCCCGAGCACCCCCGCTGCTCCCTGCGGCCGCTGCAGCCCCCGGGGATGCTCCGCGCTGCACTGCCTCCCGTCCGCCCCGGCCCGCGTGCTGGCCCCGCGCTGCGCTGCAGGCGTCACCGACGTGCTCGGTCGCCCTCGAACACCGACATCGCGGTGACCACCGCTCTCCCGTGAGCAGATCTGAAGGCTGCAGCGGTGAAGGCACTGGGCCAAGGCCACATGGCCACCGAAGTGGGCGCAGCAAAAACTCAGACCCTCCTCCTAACGGCGTAGGTTTTTAATTTTAAAACATTCTCCCTTTTATTGAAGTATAAAAGAAGCTGTAGGAAGCAGCTAGACGTTAAATGTACCGCCTGGTGAGATACCGCGTATGTATATACCCTGTAACTACCGCCACTCCGATGAGTACGTAGGATAGGACACTTCCAGCTCCTAATGGCCCCCTGTGCCCCTTGCCGGGCAATAATCTGCCTCCCACCCCACATGGGGTGACTGCCCTTCGGGCCTCTAGCACCATGCATCTCATCTACTCTTCAGGAGAGGTCCAGAGACCCCCAGGGGCCCTGATTTCAGCTCCACTCATTTCCCGGGGAGACTTCAAACAGGAACCCCCCAGCAGGCCCCTTACAGTGAGGCGGAGGCTTCAGAACCGCAGAAATGGCCATTCGAGGAGCGGGTCCTATTTCCCTGACTTCATGTGCCTGTGAAGAAACATCCGGAGTCTCCAGGAGGAAGCAGCAGGGAGCAAAGGGCAGCAGCCCTGCTCTGACCCCCTCTCGTCCTCCCCAGGCCACGCCTGCTCTCCTCCTGGCCCCTGCCTGCCCTCCCGCCCGCCCACCCGGTGCCCCGCTGCCCCTTCTGGGCCGCTGCCGGGCACCCAGCTTCATCGCCAGCACCGAAGCCCCACTTGTCCCAAAGGCCAGGTGCCCTTGTGTGCACCTTGTTCAGGCTTGTGCCAAAAGGCCAAAAGTGGGTGCGCTTTCGTGTGCCTTGCTCCTGCTTTTGTGTGCCCTCTCTTTGGGAGCTCCCGTGAGTACGGAAGGCATTCCCTCACTCCCAGCACAGGAGTGTGTGCACTGTAGCATCCCCCTCGAGGAGGGCCTCAGAGATCTAGAAAGTATAGGAACCATGATTCTGGCCACAGAGCAAGCTGAATTCTCCGATCCAGCTCTACCAATAATAAAGCTGACATTCTGCTCTTTATGACTGACTGCTAGGCTGACTTCTCAGTGTGTTCAGAATGTGGGAGAGACAAGTTTGTGGCATCACTACCCTGCAAGGCCGCACCAAGTACCAGGAGGTTTCAGACTTCTACAGGGATTGTGCCCAATTAATATTATCACACTAATTTTATAACAGAGAACAATAAAACAATATGCTAAACGGTATCAGGTAGTGTAACATAACAATGTTATATAAATACCTGCTTGAAGAGAGAAAGTATTTTCTTGTATTTCCCGAGGGCTTAAATCTTCTGACAAATGAAGCTGCTGGATTCGGCCTGCCGCGTTTGCGCTCGACAGGCTGCCGATGGAAGAACGATCAGAAACAAAATTTCTGTCTCTGAAAAGGAAACGTGAATGCACAGTTTATCAGTTTTCCTTCATGGTCAGTGCTTTGTGGTCCTCTTGAAGAAATGGTTGCCACTCTCAGGTCGTGAAGTTTTCTCCTATGTTATCTTTATTGTTTCACCTTCCAATCTACCTAGAATGGATTTCTGAGTGTGGTGTGAGGTAAGGGTTCTTTTCTTCCTTCTTCCTTCCGTCCCTCCTTCCTTCCCCTCTACCCCCTTCCTTCTCCCCTTTCCTTCCATCCTTCCTTTCCTTCTCCCTTAGTAGTTACTGAACTGACTCAGCACTATTTATTGAAAAGACCATCATTTCCCCACCACTCAACAGAGAGGTTGTTTTGCAGTTCTATTCTGTTGCTCTCAAGTCGCCTGACTACATTTCAGTCTTCATCATTCTGAATTTTCTTTTTCCAAGAAATTCCAACTTTATTTTGGTAAAGGTCTCTTCTATTACATCTTTGAATTTTTTAAAATTCCTTTTGCTTTATTCTTTAACCCAGGATATCAATTATCTGCATGTTAAAAACTCATCTTCTGCAAACCATACCCTTCATTCTCTAATGGTTCTCATTCCTTTGACTTTTTCCTCCACACTACGTGCAATTTTTGCAAGCTCGCCCTTCCTTGTACTGACTCCGGTTTCTGCCTGGTGCTCTGATGAACATCTCAGTTCTGTGAATTATTCAGTCCCAGCTTTTTTCCTGCTCAGCAATCTCTCTCCTCCCCTTTTCGTTGTCCCAGCATCCCATCTTTAATCTCGGGTCACAGGTGGCATGTTCTGTTTAACATCTGTGGTAAAACAAAGCTTTTGTTTTTCTGTTCACTCAAGGTGACATCTTCCACAATAGAGTCTTTGTGTCTTTTATCTGTTTTATTCCTTTTTGATGTATGTGAATACTGTATTTTTTTCATTTATTTATTTTTTACAGCAGCAGCTCTATCTGGATTTCTTTGGGCCTAAATATAACGTAGATAGAGTCTCCTTGGCTTCCCTCCTGTGTCATCTGAGCCCATAGCCCTTTCCTCCATTTCACACTGGGAAGGTAATGGGGCTAGGTGTAAGGATAGTCACAACCGGTGGTGACCTTACCGTATGTCAAGAAAATCAGGTTAAAACTCAAATTTTAGAGGTCACTCCCCCTACTCGAATATATAGCCCTTTAGGAACGACTCTTGAGTTTAGGACTGTAGGCAAGTGGGCACAAACCGGCTTCCTGGAAACTGCCTTGACAACAATCCCTGCTCCTCCTCAAGCCAGCAGACAACCTGGCAACCTCCACCCTTGTACCAGCCCCGGGCAGCTCGGGGGCAGGCACAAGCTCTGAAAGGACGTTGTTGACCCAGCTGGGGTGACAAACTCTCCCGGAGCACTGAGACATATTTCACAGAGAATGAGTGTTGACATATATCATTTTTCCAGGGACAGGTTTTCTAACATTGCACCACAGAAAGGGACTGGCAAAGTGACTCTTGCAACATGGAAGAACTCTCTTCTGTGAAGGCTGGTTACGTCCTGAGCAAAAGAGGAAAGCTGCTGCCTTGTATTAAACTGAATTCTGGGTGATAAAAAAGGTGGGTCTTATCTTTTAAATATTGCTTAACCACTGTAGAAGTTAACTTTATCATCAAAGAAAATAAGTGCTCTCTGAGAGGGCTGTCCATAGCTGCTGTACCAGGCGCGCTGGTGAGTAATAATGCCCACCACTACCATCAGCATCCTACGCACACACGAGCTGAAATAAAAATAAAAACCTGTTGCTCGATGTCCAAGGAGCCAGCTCATGCCACAGTACAAATGAAAGATTTACAGTTTATACTATAAATTATTTGAGATTTTCATGTGATATTCATAGAAGTGAGTACATTGCCAACAGTTCATATTGTTTTCCTTTGTTTTGGTAACGACCGAAATCATGAATAAAGCTATTGTTCATATCTCTATAGTGTGCTCTGCTTGGAAATGTCCTCACAGAAAATGAAGTTGACAACATACGGTTCCATAATATCCCTAGGGGCCCAACAAGAACAAAGTCTAAATAATTCGCATTTGATAATACCTGGTCATAGTAAGAATGGTAAGTCACTCGGTTTTTATCAGTGGAAGCTTTATTTATGTCCTGCAGATTACAAGCGTTGACTCCTTTCAGGCAGACACACTCCTTTCCAACTTTGAGTCTGTACCCATAAGGCTGAATTATGCTTTATAATAATTTTAGGTACTAGAACTTTCCCACTAACAGTACCAAAAGATATCATTATCCATTACTTCAATGTATCTAATACATACTTATTGAAACCCACTTCAAGAAATTTCAGTTTGAAGCTATTTTAACCAACCATTCCTTCTCCATACTCAAGTCTTGATGTCATTAGAATTTTACTTTTAAACGAGAGGTAAGGTGTGAACCCACCTTTGAGCACTGCAGGAAAGATCAGAGAGGAAAGAAGAGGAACTGGATCAGGGTCAGTATGTGGAAATCACTTGATTAATGATATTTTCTCCCCTTTTAACTAAGGCTTATACATCTGTTCTTTCATTGCAGGTTTTGCTTTCTCTTTGTAGATGAATAACATACATGCAAATGCAGACATTTTAGGAAAATAGAAAACTGAAAGGAGAATTACTGTATTTGTTGGGATTACAATACGCATACAGCATGTCAAGAAAAAGGTGGCAAGATTAATGTTTTCTTCAGGTTCTTGGGTCTGCATTCAACCTACATTTGCACACTGAAGACCTTCTATATTCTTGGTACAGTACTGGAGGCTCGTGATACAAAGATAAATATTTCAGGGCTCCCCAAAAACTTAAAAGATGTATGCCCCTGCTGTTGATTTAAAGAGTGTTTGTGACAAGTATAAATGACTCTCCATAACATGAATGACGGAAGAGCGGGAGGAAATTTGCTGATCGTGTACCAAATGTGCCACTGGATGGCAGCCTCCCCAGCCTTCAGTGACCGAGGCCAGCGAGCCCTCTGACTCACCCTCGTAAAATATGAAGAAGCTGCTTGATGCCTCCCCAAATGCGAATTTCCACACTGGTCTCAGGGTCCTCACAAACCTGAACCAGAATCCAGACCACACTCCAGAGCAGCTTCAGGTGGTCGGAGTGGAGCAGGCTGAGGAGAATGGGTATTCCCTCATAGAGCTTCACCTGCTCCTTCACCTGGGGTTCGGCACAGAGAAGGCGCAGTAACTCCGCAGTTAATCTGAAAGGGGAGGAGGGGGAGGAGAATGAGAACCACAGCACAGTGGGTTGTTGACTTAACACTGAGACTAGAGCCATCATCACTGTATCACTGTAACATTTTCTATGTCACAGGTCAACATATGTTTTCTGTAAGGGGCTGGATCACAGCCCAGTGGTTTAGGCTTTGCCAGCCACCCACCCGAGCCAACCTCTGCAAAAGCAGCCATAGACGATACATAAAAACACAAGGCATGGCTGTGTTCCAATAAATCTTTATTTACAAAAACAGGCAGGAAGCCAGATTTAGCCTGCAGGTCATAGTTCTCTGACTGCTGTTCAAAGTCAGAGCCTCCCTCTAAGCCCATCGGTCTGGCTACAAACCTACTAACGAGCAAATAGATATCAAGTACATACAATGGGACCTGCATGGTGCTCAAGACAAAAGAAATAAAAGTTCTACCCCAGTCTTCAGAAACTTCCTATGTGGCTACAAGAATAAGACATTAACACAAAACGGCAAAACAAACAAACAAAAAAACAAAAGCCCTACAATGCACGGAGAGTAAATGCAAAGTGTCCAGTGAATATCTGGGGAGTAAAACAAAGATAATGAGAGCAGAGGACAGGGGGTCCAGCAGAGCTCTGAGAAATCCAATGATACACATTTCCTAGAACCACTCTTAACCCTCCAGTCTCACGCTCTAGACACTCTCCCTGGACAGTGCCGTCCTTCCCCATGGCCTCAAACGCCCACTCTCTCCTGCACTGTGAGCTGGGCCCAGGCACCACTCTCAGCCTCCAGAAGTTCTAGCCACAAGGCAGTCCCATGGGTACACACCCGACTGTGTCTCGACTAAAGGTCAATATCCTCCTCCCCAGACTGGCTCTACCTCTTATATCCCCAGTGTTGCTTCATGATGCTACTGCCTTTTCAATTTCCCAAGCCAGCAGATGGAATCATCCAAGCCACTTGCTTCTCTTTCCCCAATCTGCCACTGCCAATCAAGAGCCTTCAGTGCCCCGTTTCCTTCGCAGCTGCTGAGATTGATTCTCTTAACCAGTCATGCAGCTGGCTAACCCCACCGCTCCTCCCACTCTCGTGATCCTTGATTGTGCCTGAGACATAAGCCCCTCTGTCACTCATCTCTCCAATCTTCTCAGGCCCACACTACTCTACACTTCCTTTCCCCTGAGCCAATTTCCCATAAATCCGTCTCAAACCTTTGGGCTCTGACATTCAGAACATATGTTTTTCGGCAAATAGTATTCTTCATCTCATCAAACTTTCTACACCAAACATTCCCTCCTTGTTCCAAGTGGATCCCATTATGTGGCTGTGTTCCCCATGTCACATACTCTACACACTGCCACCAGGGTAATCTTCCCCCCAAATGAATCTGATCATGCTTAAAACCTTTCTGAGAGTCCCCATAATGTTCATGGATAAAAACCACACTCTATTTGGCGTAAAGAGCCCACAGTGACCTGATAAAGGCATCTCGCTGCCTCCTCGATAAAATATGGAAATTGATAGGGTTATTGTGCCCATCAAATGAGTTAACACACAAAAGTACTTAGAGTAGGGCCTTGCATATAGAAAGCTGGATGAAAATTAGCTATATTTTTAACTTATGATTAACTGTCTAGTTTTCTGTCACTTTCCCTCTTATACTCTATTCCAGCTGTGCACAACCAGGCAGTGCCTCGAACAAAGACCCCTTCATGTCTCCATGACGGGGCACTTTCTGTTTTCACGTGTTCTCTCCCTTTGCCTAGATAACTCCTTCTTCCGGAAGCCTGGTACGACCCCTGGCTCTGACTGGGAGCCTCTCCTTTCTCTTCCCAGAGTACCCTGTGCATCCGTCAGTCACACCATTACAGTAGGATGGTGAAACCACTGGCCAGCATGGCCATCCCCTCCCCCACACTATACACTCTGTCTTCCTCATCTTTGGTGTTCTAACACCTGGGCAGAGGCTCTTTCCTAGAAATGAGTTCAGGTGAGCAACTCTGTGAACAGAGTTTGTAAAGGATGAAATTGACTCTGAAGAAAGATTCAAGGGGATTTACTAGGGTTATACGTCAGGGTTTCATGATTTGATATGTCTGTTATCTGTTTTACCTCTTGAGAACATTATGACTTACTGAACTAAATATCAAATGATGTAGGTTGCAACTCCATTTAAAAACAACACAATAACTATCTGGCTACAGTAATTCTTCAGAGCAATACATAGTTCAAGTAAAAATGAATACATATTAGATTCTGTTTAGAGTTATAACAACAGATGGTCATGAACCAAGTAAGTAGCTATCTTAATTTATTTTACTTCAGCAAAATAGATTTTAGCAATCTAATAATTTATTCAACATATAATCTGAAATTACTAAAAACAGAGCCACCTCACAGTATCTTTCCTGAAAGGGACAGGATGTAAAAAAAAAAAATCAGTAAACAAAAGTATTAAGGATGTGATCATAAGATTCATGTAATTTGATTCTATGATCTATACCCAGATCCAGAAGTGGTGCCAGACCAAAGATAAATCAATACACCTCTCTGTTCTACTTTCTTTATGAAAACTTAAACAGAAAATAAATGTCAAGGTGACTCATGATTTTAGTTAACAATGTAAATAGCATGACACAATAAAAATGATTATAATCATTTTCATCAAATATGGCATTATTTTTCTCCCCTATAGCAATCCTACCGTTTGGAAAGCAAGTCATATTCATGTAAAATCATCAGCAGATTTTCCACAATGTTGAGTTCACTTATCTTCTCCCTACATTCCGGACTACAAATTGAAAACTGTTAGTAATTACTAAAGACATATTTTACCATATCCATTTATCTAATACCCCAGCTCTCATATTATCTCAGGAGGGGAAACAGAAAGCAATATAGCTCCAGGGGCTAGGGCTACATCAAATTCCAACATTCAATAAATGTCATAGGTCATAAATTCAAATCTGTTTAATAACAGTATGATGATAACATAATTCCCTTTCTCCAAAAAGAATCATATGCTATTCCCAAAGAAAGTAATAATAGGCATTATTCTTAATAGCCAAGATATAAAAATGACTTATATAGGGGTGTGTGTGTAACATACATAATTGAATACTATTTTTCATCTATAAAAAAGAAAGAAATCTTGCCATTTGTGACAACGTGAATAGAGCTGGAAGGAATTATGCTAAGTGAAATAAGCCAGAGAAAGGTAACTACTATATGATATCAGTTATATGTGGAATCTAAAACAAAAAATGAAGAACTTATTGCATAGAAACAGAGATTGGAATGGTGAGGAGTTGCCAGGTGCAAGTAGCTAGAAGGAGGGGGAAATACAGGTTACAGGGTACAAGCTTTCAGTCATAAGAAGAATGGGTACTGAAGATCTAATGTAGGGCACGGACACTATAGTTAACAGTATAGAGCTGTACACTTGATAGTTGATGAGAGTAGATCTCAAAGGTTCCTGTTACACACACACACACACACACACACACACACAGCGTTAAATATGTGATGTGATGTGTGTATTAATTATCTTGAGCTTAATAATCATTCCATATATATATATGGTATAGCAAATCTGCATGTTGCACACTTTAAACAAGTGCAATCATAATGGTCAATTATTCCCTATAAAGTTAAAAAAATAAGAAAAAAAAAAGCATCTCTCCACTTTATTGGCATAAAAATATAGATAAAGCACTTTTACTTAATATAATCATGGTATCTATAAGGGAACATGTTATCCAGGAGTGTTTTAAGGGTAAAAATGTTCAAAAATGTTTTAGGTATTAAAATAAATACATAGGAGAAAACTTTTTTTAAGGTCAGGGAGATATAGTTGTCAAAGAAAAATCTTGGTAATTTTGAAAGTGGAAGTATCTGAGGGTGGGATAAAAGGCTAGGGAAGTATTTCTGGTAGGGAAAAAAGAAGAAAATATTAAACTGGGGTTTTCCTTTCCAGCTTAAGTTTTAAAATGGTGCTTTTTCTTCCAGGGTCCTCTCATATATATTAATGCTACTTCATACTTATTTTTCACGAATTATAACTTAGTAGGCAAGTAACTAGAGAAACTGATCTATTTTCCGTCTCTCCCACCTAAACAGCTACCGCAGCAGAACTGAAAAGTATAGCAAAATACACTTACCTTTCAGCTAAACTAGCCAGAGCCAGAAGGGCACCCAGCAAAACATTAGTATCTCGGGCACCAAGTAAATTTACTAATGTCTGAAAAATGAAGTAAAAGAAACATTCATTGTGTATGTGCTACAAGCTTCTTGAGTGGTACGATGTTTCTTTCAAAGATCATTGAGCTTAACCTCAAGAGGAGTTTTATTAAATAGCCATTACACCCAGCGCTTCTAGGGAGCAGAGCTCCTTCTTGCTTTGAAGCTCAAGACAAGTTCTTGTAGCAAGACAAGTTCCTTGCTTACCCAGGGCAGGAAGCCAAAGAGGCCAAGCTACATGGCCAAGGGCCTCACTCTTCCCTCTATTTTTCTGTGTCCAGGAAGTCTGCTCTGCCTCCTCTGATCCCTCCCCAAGGAGAAGCAGTGAGACTAATGACAGAAACTACAATACTGGTAGCAGCCAGTCCTTGGGAGCTCATTCTGAACCAGGCTTTGCAGGAGGCTCTTCCCAAATTGTGGAACTATTTTTCACCAAAGTTTTGAAAACTCTCTTTTTCCCCTTGAACTAAGTAAGGTGTATCAACATTAGCAAGCACTTCATTTGCCTCTCAGATTTCTCACTGATGTTGAAAGAACATGAATCGATGCTTCCAGGCATCACCCTAAGTAACATGACTTAGCTGCAAGTCTGTACCTTATCAGCTGCCTCTTCTGAAATCCCCTTCCCCAGGGACTTTTAGAACTCAGAGTCCCCCAAAAGTACACCCCCAAACACACCGCTGGCCATAGCTGCAAGCCGTGCAACAACTGCTGGGGGGTGGGTTGAGGGGGAGTTGGTTTCTTTTATGTCAATTTTTCCCCTTTATGATGTCATTCATGTTTTTATGAAGCTATCGTTATCCTCATTTCTCTCATCCTCTCCTCTTATTCTTCTCTCATTTTTCTCTGTCTTCTAATAGAATGTTCCCCAAACTTCAGTCCCTGACATATCACTTCCACAATTTGTGCCATATCTACTTACCTCCTTAATGCTACTCCAAATGTTCCTTAAATTCTAAGCGATAGTATCAGTGAAATATATGTGGCTATCAGAATGAAAAGAGTTGATTTGTATGTCACCCAGAATCATCTCCTACACAATGGGCAGCATGTGTGAAGACATTTTAGGCAACTTTGCTCTGGTACCTGCAAGGAAGTAACCTTCTGGGATAGGAGAGCTCAACAGATTATTAAAACTTGGCTGTAGGCAGCTCCCATCTAAATAGCTTTGTTATAAATATAGATTTAGTCTGTTTTGATTAAACCTGCATTCACTCATCTTGAAATGTACATTTGATCCATATGCCTGTATTACTCTACCATCTGATTATAAAGTGGAACCATATGAAATTGGCATATAGACATGACAATTTCATATGGTTGAAACAAATATAACCCCAGGTGCCATATGGAATGTATTTAGATGTATACATACATTTTATTTATTCATTTGTTAACGCACACCTAGGGTCAGTTTATATATAGCCGGGGTTTCTCAAGCAACATTTAAGTAAAACAATGAACTTAGTTGTTCTTAAGTGGCATAGGGGAAAGAAAAAAAAAAGGAGTTTCAGGAAATCTGCTTGCTATTTCCATATTTGCACCTTAAACTAATAAAGAATATAAAAGGGTTGGCAGAGATGTACAATTCTAGGCTAGATTTCGTGAACCATAATCATAAGACACTTGGTCAGGGGACTCTCAACTCCAGCAGGTGAACCGCTATGAACGTGGTGCCAAAGCGCTCACTCCTGCTGGGACCGCTCACCTTGTGGGCTCCGCTTATGGTGACCCATTCTCTTTGGTCCTTGACAGCAGCAAGTTTTTGAAAAATATCTATAAGGAAAGAGGGATTTGGTGCTTAAAGGCAGCAGTATTCATAGACACTCAGGTGTGAATTACTGGAGGGCAGGCAGAGAGAGGGCAAACGGGAAGACACATAACACAAAAGAAACAATGGAGGGAGGAGGAACCGGGTCTTTTTTTTTTTTTTTTTTTTATTCTGAGAATTTCCTCTTAAACTCAACTGATAATTATTATATACTACTATCATAACAATAAAATATGGAGACAGCAAAAAGGCAAACGACTCCTTCCACTTAAGTTCCTCAAATCATTAGGAGTTCAGAGTGAAACCTACTCGTCAAAGATCCCCCCTATAAAGATTTTGAGCAGAAAGAGAGGGAAGGCTGGAAGGTGATGGAAGAACAGCTGCTCTCAAAGGGCCTTCCTGGTGCCCAGGGCTTGTGACGTACTCTCCTCTCCCTATAACTGGGAGTCTGTATGCTGTCGTAGAAACAAACACAGGAAATCAGACCATTCACCCAAAGAAAATGGGCCAGCATCCAACAACGGGGGCCCACAGCTCATCAGACCCGGAGAGGATGGAAGGTGGGGCCTTCCAGAGAGGGGAGATTGAGTGCCACACCCGCTGACCAATGATTTCACATTCTCATCATCACATCAGGGGCTTTTCCTTCCTTTTTTTTATGTTCACAATGTTTTAAATTTTATGAGGTAGGAGTTATTATTATTAGTGCAACTTTGTAGACGAAAACTGAATAGCCTATGACATCTTAATAGAAAGCAAAGAAAGCAAAAAATATTTTTTACCAAAATCTGCCATTATGGAAGTCTCTCTCATAGTAAAGTAAACTTGTGCTCACTGAAAATCTCCCACCTGAAATTGGGCTTTTCAAGGTAAGAGTTGTGATCTGAAGTTTTCCTTCTAAGTATATCTTGCCACTAACTATGACTATTGACATGGGCTCTCAATATCATAACTGTGGATGGGTAGACTCATAATATTCAAAGTATCCTTGTCCCTGCTGAAAATGCCACCCTGCTCATTCTAGCAAATCGGGAAAGCTGCTGTGTCCCTGCGACAACACTCACACGTCATGTTGACCAGCTTGTCCACACTGTGCTGCTCTTCTCCGTAGCTGAGGTACTCATTGGCCACGAGCTCCATGTACTGCGGGAAGGAGCAAACCACCAAGAGTCAGAAGGAAAGACAGCAAGAGCACACGAGCTGATGAGGGACAAGATGTGTACTTCTAAAAATGAGCTGTAGGTGGCACAACAGATTCACCAAATACGATTCAGGTCCCTGGGCCAGGTTCACTTAAGGGCAAAAGGTAGCTTGAGTTTCTGGATTCTTTGCCTTCTCTTGCATGCCCTGAACTTGAGGGAGGAGGGACCATGGAAAGATTATATAAACTCTCAAAAGTCCCCAAATGACTTGTGACTAAATAAGTTTGTGGTGTAATTTGCCTCCAAATACAAAATATATACATATAGCTAACCAGCATATGCAAGATACCAATAATCAGAATAAAATAGTTATGGGGTAGTCTGATAATCCCTCACTATGGGTAATTGATTATAATAAGAAATAGGCAAAAAAAAAAAAAAGAGAAAGAAAGAAGAAAGAAAGAGAGAGAGAAAGAAAGAAAAAAGAAGCAAAGAAAGAAAGAGAAGAAAAATAGGTTCAGAGAAACACACATAAATTTCTAATATTACAAGGGAAATTAAGGTGGATGAGAGAATCGAATCCTTTAGAATATGATTTTATGAAAGACTATGCCATGAAATGAGGTAAACCTCCAGCCAATTAAAAGACAAATCTTAAAAATAAAAACTAGACATGATTTTTTATTTTTGTTTTATTTTATTTTATTTCCAGGAATGAAGATATAATAAAATAAGGTAGGTTTTGCATTAAACTGCCATTCACTTTAATCTCCCATTAATATGGAATGAGTTTGCAGGGTCATTGGTTTATTATGAAAATCATTCTTTTTGTACATGCCATAGGTTTTAGAAGAATGGGCTGTTCCAACCCAATGCCCTGCCTAGAAAGTTTTGTTTTATCAAACTAACTAACGCAAACATTTAACTGGCTCAACATATACAGTTTCCTTCCCTTCCCTCAGAAGCTACAAAAGCAGAAAAATAAATGAAGTTAACATCATTCCTCACTTTGTCGTGTATTTGGAAATATCTCAGTGAGCACGATTAATTCTTTTTTCATGAGAAAGTTCTTTTTTCATCTTCATGACCAATGTTTTCTGCCCTCATCTGGCATATACCATGCTGAGGATTGGGTCCTGCCGGCCAAAGCCTATTTCTTCTCATTACTAATTAAAGACCTGTGACCTTGTATGGAACTTTCTTGTCTCGGCAGGCTGGGTGAAACCACCTGGAACAAAATGTCGTGGGTCCCTTCCTGCTCTGCAAGTACCCTGCCATAGCATAGGCACACTCATCCACCCTGCCTGCTCCTCCCCTTGGCGGGCAGCCTAAGGTAAGAAAGCCATCTGCCGTCACACACCTAAGTAATCCTTGCCCCGAGCCACGGCACGAAACGGAAGGGCAAGACCAGCCGCCACAAAGGAATCTTACCTGAGCTAGGTTTTCAATCCCGCCCAAGCTATGGAGTATCTCCTAATAAAACAAAAACAACAGAACATACACAAAAGATGAGGGTGGAGGGGAAGGATATTTTACATGCAATTTCTTTATGAAGTCATGAGACATAATTATTTTTTGAAGGTCCACATTCTTTTTGTTATTCATGCCGCATTTAAGACAAACTCTTAATAAATGTGAAAGTGGTGTTGAGATTAGGAGAATGTAAATATGATCAGACCCGCAGCCCGACTCCTCATTCTATTTCCTCTCATGTCACCATAAGATGTTAGAACTGGAGGGAGCTGTTAGATACCGTTCCCTTCACCCTCCTCACACTGCAGATTAGGACAACTGAGACTCAGAAAGGTGGGCCACTTTGCCTATGTGACCAGCCTGGATAGGAATGGAATCCTATGTTTGCACATATAGGAGGATTAGGAGGAACTTAACTGAGGACCATGGGGGAGAAGAAGGGGGGAAATGGTGGGGGAAAGGGAGAGAGGCAAACCATGAGAGACTCTTGAATGCTGACAAAAATTGAGGACTGATGGATGTGGGGGGGAGGGGGAAGATGGGCAAGGAGGAGGGCACTTGTGGGGATGAGCACTGGGTCTTATATGGAAACCAATTTGACAATAAACTCTTTGTAAAAATAAATAAATAAATAAATAAATAAATAAATAAATAAATGCATGGAATCCAGCATCTCAAGTTTACAAGACCTCCTTGTGGGCCTCTGCCTAGCGTGGCCCACGGGCAGCAGCAGCAGCCTCACGGAGGGGTTGGTCAGAAGAGCAGAATCGCCTGCCAAATTGCACTCTGGATCTCCACAGAGTCCTGGGTAATTCACAAACAGTAAAAGTTGACAAGCACTGCTCTACGGGGCTCCTCCTTAAAATGAAGAGGCTAATGGTCTTGTTAAATCCATACTCTAAACAAAGGTAAGAATAATCATTGCAAATGTCTCCTGATACAGGTCTTTAAATCCAATTCCCAGTAAAAAGGCATTTCATGAAACTACTCTAAAAGTGGTAATTAGGGGAGACCTCGGTGGGAGGCTGCAGTTGTGAGAGGGACCAGCTTGGAACTCAACTAAGAGCAGATGCTCTCAGACCATCCACATTGACATTTATCTTCAGGTAAATGTGTTTCAAGTGGTCCTAACCTGTTTATTTAAAGTTATACTGACATCTCTCTCCTTAACATGCACACAAGGAAATCATTTGAAATATAAATATTAGCCACCATTCCAGTTCTGTTGGAAGTGCATGGTGATGAGTACTCAAGTGTGAGAGAGAACAATCTAGTTCCACCATGAAGCCAACTGAGTGGGCAGGCTGAACAAAAGGCTCAGATTCTTAAGGCCTCCTGGTCAAGCTTTCCTTATTCTATCGTGAAGTGAATTTGGAAGCCCATGTTTCAATTCAGTATGAAGCCACACTTAGAATTCAATTTAAGATAGTTTTGTGGGGCGCCTGGGTGACTCAGTCGGTTGAGCGTCCACCTCTCGATTTCAGCTCAGATCATAATCCCAGGGTTGTGGACTCGAGCTCCACATTGGGCTCTGCATTGAGCATGGAGCCTGCTGAAGAGTCTCTCTCTCCTTCTCCCTTCTGCCCCTCCCCCACCATGTGCCCCCCCCAAAATAAAAATAATAATTCTGTGACTACCTACTAATTTGAATTTTCATCATTGCTATTCACACTCTAGAAGAGCTACAGTTAAAGAACAGAAAAATATTGAATACATTATTCCTACTTATGGCAGAATATTTTATACATGTAAAAATAACATTTTAAAACTCTTTACGTTTATTCAACAATTTCTTTTTCATTCCTATTACGTAAAAGCCCTGCATTAGGCTCTGAAGAGAACACAAACATGCAGTGAAGATGACTGAGACCTAATTTACAGAGCTTTAGGCAAGCATATGGTAGATATACAAATAACTGACCTTCAAGACAGAATGTGGTAAGTGTTAAAAAAACAGTTATACAGGAAGTGTTATGGTGCCCCAGGAGGGACACACTATACCCTGAGAGGAATAAGGACAATGACATAAGGATGGTGTCCCCTGAAAGAGTTTAGAAGGATGGGCAGAGTTGCTGAGAAGTTGGGAAAGATCAGGGAGATTCCAAGCAGAGGACAGTAGGTCCAAAGGTGCACAGAAGTTGTGCAGAAAGAACATCAAGAGAAGCACTTATGTAACTCCATGAAGGGCATTATTGGGAATAATGTCAAGAAAGCCAAGGGGAACCAAACGGTAGGAGGGCTTAGATGTGAGGCTGAATGTGACTTTTGTCAAGAGGACCATGACATCTGATGGAAATGTGTGAACAAGGGATGATTAGAATCAGCTGTGAGGGGGCACTTGGGTGGCTCAGTTGGTTGGGCATCCGACTTCGGCTTAGGTCATGATCTCGTGGTTCGTGAGTTTGAGCCCCACATCAGACTTGCTGCTGTCAGCCTATCAGCACAGAGCCCGCTTTGGATCCTCTGTCCCCTTCTCTCTGTGCCCCTCCCTAGCTCATGTTCTCTCTCTCCTAAATAAATAAATAAATAAATAAATAAATAAATAAATAAGAATCAGCTGTGAGGACTTCCCTCTGGTTTTTGAATGAACCAGAAAGGGAAAGGGTGACACCTAGAAGCCAAATTGGTTGGCGGTGACAGTGGGCAGAAGAAGGGAGAGGCAGAGATAGTCTGTGAAGCAGTGTGATCAACCAAACACGAAGACATGCTGGAAGAAAGGGAACAAAGTAGAGGACGCCACCCTATTTGGGCCTGCGGACTGAGGGGTGGCGAGATACTAACAGACACAAGGAAGGAGAGAGGAAGAGTCTAGATTAAAGAAGACTCGATTCGGGACACACTGGGCTAATGATGGGATATTCACTTGAGAAAAGCACAAAAGACCATGAAAAATGACATGAGAGCAAAACATTGAAATCTGAGAGTTGTTGACTTGAAGATTTAAATTCAAAGCTGGGAAGTGAGACAACACCACGGGAGAGTATAATGTTCAAGTGACTGGTCATGGTCATGGTCATGGTCACTTTTAAATTTTTGCCTTGACATGTAACATACCTATCCAATAGTTAGTACTAATAATTTGGGACGAAGTCCTAAACTCTGTTCTGGGAATAACCCTTTTATTCTGTGTCGTGGGTGGTATTAAGCATTCGATTTAAAATAATAGTAGTAATTTCATGGCCAAATTCAAATGAGCTTGTAAAATAATACAGTAAACAGAGTTTGACAACTAGTTTTATCATAGGGCCTCTCAGAGCTTTGAATATCCACCCTGCCATGCATTTTAAGCCTCCAGTGGGAGAGAGAACTGAGGTGCAATTTTCCCCCATCATCATTAACTGAAGCACACTTCTTTTCACAGAATACGTATTAACTCCTGTGGATCACCATTTGAGAAGCACTGTTATCAAGTATAGGAAAGAGAGAGAGGGTTTGTCACTCTGAGAATGTTGTTACATACTCAAGAATCTACCCTTCATTTACAAAATAAACACTCCCTCCTTCTGCCACGCATGCATCTATGGAGATTGGAGCAAGGCTAGGAGATTGCTCATGGACTCACAGTCTTCCTTATATGTCCTTCGGTTACACCAGTGGGACTGCTCTAACCTGAGAGTGTCAGCTGCAGCAAACCAAGACCACAAGGTACGCACACACCTGGGCTTAACAGTTCTGAGCACTAATCTGAACGGCAAATATGACGGCACATGTGGGTTACAGCAACTCCTCCCAAGTGCCCTGTCAGATCTCAGCATTCTCTCCCTGGTCACAAGCCAGAGGGGTCACAAGACTGGTCTCTGTACTTCTGAATCCGATGACCTGGAGAAAGTCTCCAAGTCAATCTGACCTTCAGTTCAATGTGCAATATGTGAACAAATGTCCTTGCTCTATTCCCAGAGGTTTTCCTTTTTTTAAAGTGATACAATAATATAATACAGATAAAGAGCATGTTCTTTAAAAATGGAGCACACTGCAGGGAGCCTTGGTGACTCAGTCTGTTGAGCATCCATCCGACTTCAGCTCAGGTCATGATCTCACGGCTTTTGGGTTTGAGCCCCGCATCAGGCTCTGTGCTGACATCTCAGAGTCTGGAGCCTGTCTTCGGATTCTGTGTCTCCCTCTCTCTGTCCCTCCTCTGCTCACGCTGTCTCTCTCTCTCTCTCTCGCTCAACAAAAAAAAAAAAATTTAAAAAATGGAGCATGATGCAATACCAAAGTAGATGTTGTTATGCACCACTATTCTTGCAATGGCCAAAAATGTCAGTGACGTTGGATGCTCTCATCCTAGTCCCAATCAGCAACCAAATCAATGTCGAGCACACTACAGTGAGCCCTTAACAGTGAATCGCAAATGTGATCACTTTATTCCTCTGCTTAAACTCAACAGTGGTTCCACACTGCTCATCTCTGGGTCATGATTTTAGGCCCCTCTGTACACTAGCATCTTATCTTTCCAGATGGAATAGCAATGCTCTTGAAAAACTTGATATGTTCTATTGGTAGAGGGGTGAGTAAAAAGAAAATATAAGACATGTTTCAAAGTTTCCTACCTTGGAGTCTGGAAGCAAGGTAGTGCCATTAGAAGGATTAGGAGTTGATCCTGAAGGTTCAAGGCGAGAGGAAGAATCAAGGAGCTCCATTTTAAAGTTGTTGAGTGGAATGCACTACCACAGTGCTTCTGAAACTCTTTGGTCTCTGTGTTCCTTTACACTCTTAAAAATTACTGAGAACCTCAAAGAGTTGTGCTTCTGTGGGTCATATCTATTTATTACACTACAAGTTAAAAGTGAGAAATTTTTAAAACACAAGAGTGCACAGGCACCTGTCCCATCAGCCATCAGAGCCGTGACATCATCACGCCTCCCGTAGCCTCTGGAGAACTCCACCACGTAGATGTAAGACAATGAGTGTGAAAAGTCAAACAACATCGTGGCATTATTTAAAGACATTTTTGGCCTGGTAGAATCCCTGAAAGGGTTTCAGAGACCCGTAAGCAGTTCCCAAATCCTCACTTTGAGGACCATGACACTACTGGGTTATCCAGATGGCCATCTGAAATACCCCTGGAAATTTGCAACTTACAAAAAGAGAGAAGTTTGAGACTGGAGGTATGTACTTATGAGCAAAAAACAACAATGCCAATAATAACAGTTGGAGCCAAGAGCATGGAAGATAGGGGAGAAGATGATTAAAGAAAAGAACTTTGGATGAGGCATCTGGGTTGCTCGGTCAGTTAAGCCTTGGTTCAAGTCATGATCTTGCAGTTTGTGGGATCAAGCCCCATGTCGTTGGGCTCTGTGCTGACAGTTCAGAGCCTGCCTGGGATTCTCTCTCCCTCTCCTTCTACCCCTCCCCTGCGCTCGCTCTCTCTCTCTCTCTTTCAGAATAAATAAACTTGAAAAAATAAAGAACTTTGCGAAGGTTAACATTTAGGAAGGCAGGATCAAGGAAAAGAACAGTAATCTAGAAAAGCACAAAGTGCTAAGGAAGAACTCTGGCCTCTTGGGAGCGGTGAAGGCAGACAGAAAATGCAGTAAAGCCTGTGGGCTGCTAAGGAAGTTGGGATATGCAGGTGCTGGGATAAGGCTACTCAGCCTGCCTGTCTTTTTACTGTGGTTTCTAATATGATTGTACTTAGGAGCTTTTAAGATCTTCACTTTATCCTTGATAAGCAACGTACTACGGCTTCACAGTGATGAGTCCAAGTGGCCGTTTCTCTTTATCCTGCTTGGGATTCCTACTATACTTGAAATCTCAGAACATGTGTCTTCCTTTAATTATGAAAAAGCCCTAAGCACTCCATACCTCAAAATGGCTTCTCTTTCATTCCTTCCAGTCTTTTCTTGCTGGAATCTCCGTTAAGCATATAGTGAAGTCTCTGGCAGGCAAGATCCAATCTATGAGCTACCAGTTTGCAACCTCTGGATCAAGGGATGCTGACTAAAGCACGACCTTCAGGGAGAACCTTGTTCACAAGAATTCAGTGTGAATGTAATACAGCCCATCAGTTCTGAGAGGGAAGAAGTGGGTTCAAGAGATATAGTCTGACCTCTCAAGAAATGTAGTAAGGAACGTAAGGCGAAGATTTGAAGGGATATCTGGGTCAAGGAATGGGCATTTTTATGATAATGGAAAACAGAAAAGGAGCCATTGTCATAGTAATGAAGAGAATAGATAGATGGGAAAGCCTTGGCAAGCAAGGAGGAGGGATATTTCTTCCAAGACAAGAAGAACATAAGGCTTTAAGATAATCCTAACATTCCAAGCAACAAAGAAGAGATAATACGAGAGTTCCCACTGGATGGCTTTGGTTTCCCCATAGAGCAGATGATGCTGTAATTTGGTGAGAATGACAGGGGTGGGAGGGGGCTGTGGTCGGAGACGCAAACACGGTCTGGAACAGCCACTGTGGATCCTGTAGCACGGACTCAACAAGTGAGGAAAGGGATGCCCAGTGAGGGTGAAGGCTCGCTGAGATTAACTGGCATAAATTCCAATAAGCCCCAGCAAAGCTTGGTGACTTCGGCCAACAATTCTTGGCAACTCAAGGTATTCAACAACTGTCTGAGCACATGCTCTTCTTTGTGGAAGGAGTGCCAGGAGGAGCACTTCAGAGAGAATACCCTTCTATGGAAAGACTAGGAGTCAGGAAAGGACTTCATTTTAATATGATTTAGTCACAAAATCCCATAAACAACGAGGTCACTGAATTCTTTCCTGGAGAGAGCAGGGCAATCAACTCTGTCCCGACCCATCAAGAACTAGACTAAGAAAGTCAATACTTTCGACAGGGATCAGCAGAGTATGACACAACTGGCATTAATATTCTAAACAGACAGAACATCTCTGAAGCAAAGATTTTGCTAACTTCTGTAAGTCAGAAAACTAGAGCTCCTGCTAAAAAGCCACCTTCGTGAGAATAAAAGAAGGTGTTATTAATAATTAAGTGGGAACAATGAACACACTATGAACACATTCTGGGACTGACCCAGCCAAAATGGAACACGTGGTCCACCATTCTTACCTACGCTGCACACCAAATTGTGAATGGTACCTCAGAAATACACGGAACATGCAGTTCTGTACTGCTGGTCGTGGGGGGGGGAGGGGGGAAGGATGCTATCTTCCCAAAAGATAACTAAACTATAACAGCACAAGGCCGGCTTAGAATACAGAGTGAGGGAGTGGTGATTCATCTAGAGGAATCACCATCATGAATCCCAGAAGACTGAAACCAGAGCAGGCTCTATAGCTGACTGGGACCAAAATGTTTTTTTAAGTGCCAAAGTCAGAAAGATGGTTATTGGGGTAAGGCAAAGAAACGCGTTCTGACATAAACAATTCATCAGAAAAACCAAACCTGAAGTAAAAGATCTTCGGAGTGGTTTGAGCTTCCTAGTAGCTTCTCAGGACAGGGTGTAAAAGGAGATGCCTCTTAGGGGGGAAAAATCTGGGAAAACCTGATGCACGTATTTAGAATAGGTACATTCTAAATACTTAACATTGGCAAGCAGAAACAATAACGACTAAAGCAGCAATCTCGAGGCTTTGGAACGGTGGTTCTCAAGCTGCGGTCCCCTGACCAGAAGCACTGGCTTCACCCTGGAACACTGCAGAAATGCAGACTTTCTGGCTCTCCCCAAACCTACTGAACCAGCAGCTGTGGGGCTGGGCCCTGGCAATCTGGAAGCCTTCCGTGTGTTTCTGGCACACAAAAGTTTGAGAACTGCTGCTTTACGGAAGCAGCTGTGGACCAGCCAGTACTAGAAGAAATCATTTTCAAGGTCCGGGTGATATGGTAGGGAAGTTTTGTTTGTTTGTTTGTTTTAAGAGCCTCATTGCTAAAGCACTAAGACCTTGCTGTGCAACGTGTGGGCCATGGACCAGTGGCATCGGCATCCCCTGGAAGCTTCGCAGGCACGCAGAGACTTGGGCCCAGTGGACACCTGCTGGGTTGGGATAGGCATTTACAAGAGTCCCCGTGGATCCCTGAGTGCGTTCAAGTTTAAGAAGCACAAAGCCAGAGGCAGCACACCCAACTAACTAGTGAGGAGGGAAAGGTTCTTGGCCCCACGACCCCTGTCTGAGATGACTGGCAGGTCCCGTGCTCCCCTCTAACGCAGGGTCTGAGGCTGGACGTGGGGAAGGGCCTCGACTCTGGAGCAGCTGCTAAAACTGCAGGCCCCGCCTTTCCCACCGGCTGCCTCGGGAGCTCCCTGAGGAGGCCCCCACTTGTGACTGCTGACTTTGACCTAGGGAGCTGCCTAGCCTTGAACACACTCAAAGGCGTGGTGTGAACTGCCAATGTTTTCAACGTACACCCAAAGTTCCATCCACTTGATCCCATAGTTAACATAGCAGAAACATACAGATCTGTTTGTCCCTATTAAATTATTTCTCTCACATCTTTTTATATAGCAGTTGAGATACCTCCTGAATTTGAAAGCTATTGAGTTATGAGACAGGAAAAAAAAAACTAACATGATCCCAGATTTTTACTTCACCTTCATATCAAGTGAAAACTATTTTTATTGTTTCCAACCAACCTGGTAACACGGATCCCTCATTAGGAGTCTCAGACAGATTAACACTCTCAGAAAATGAAGAGATGGGGCTCGATTAACCCACTCTCTGAAAGAAGAAAACAAAAAGCATGTTTGCCCATGTTTAAGCGGACAGTGCGACAGTTCATGAATAACACAAGACAATGAAGGAGAATAAGGGACACACAAAGGAACAGCATTAGTTTATTTTGACCATAATCTGCAACAAGGACTGTTATTTGGTACCTGAACACTTAATCCATTTTAGTGCGAAACATACAAAAACTGCAACATCGCCTGAGGGGTTAGCGCCTTTCCAAGGGAAAGAGCTAAAAGTTCCAATAATTAGATTTGACTGAATAAGCATTTATGTCCTAATAACTTAGTATCCATTTGAAAAAATTATATGTGTACATTTTAAGAAAAAAACTTTTATTTTTAACATTTACTTATTAACAGCATGTGTGCTCCTATAGGCGCTAAAAAATTCTCCAGCCTTGTGATCAGATTGGATGCCACTTCTCCTCTTCCACCTGATTTTCCCCTCATACTCGCTTTTGATTGTGACAACCTTGGAAAACCCAGCTTCAGAAACATACGCCACCATCAAAGGGAAGGCAGCACAATCTTAGTGTGGAAATCACATAGCACCTTGAGGAGTCGCACTGTGTCTGGCAGACATCGTATAGCGCTATTCTCCTTGCAAATTTCAAATACTCCATGACACCCCTGGGGCTTCTCTGTAGCCTCCAGGGTACTTTGCTGGGCAGTTTGGGGAACACCGTGAAAAAGCATTTTCGTGGATCGGTTTCCCCGGAAGTAGACCCCGAGATGAAGGTTGGTGTGCAGGTGAATGGCTAAGGACATACTCTCAGGGGAGACCGTGGAGAGTGGGGCGCATGAAGGAGAAGGGGACAGACACTCGCATGGGCCCCTAAGCTAGTTCAACAGCAGCGCTTGGGGCAAATGTTAACAAAAAAACTAAAACAAACAGTGTCTGTTATTTCACAGTGAACCACGAAAAACTGGGGGAGATCAGGAAAGCCACTCCAGACGAGAAGTCCCATCACTGCTCCCAACCTCTCCCACCCCTACGGTTGAGTTAGTCATGCATCCAGTTAGGCTACTTTATAGGTCTGCCCCGAGGTCAAGCGGAACATTTGCTTAAGCTGTGGTCCCAAGCCAACCCTTGCCTGGCCTGCTTCATATTGATCCTTAGCCTTTGGTGGGAGAATCCAGCTTCATCTCCCCCATAGACCTGAGAAACTCGGCTCTGCTCCCAAACTCACACACCTCCCACCTGAGTGCACAAGTCCCCCCTCCTCAAAGGCAGGACAAGTATCTATAGCCACTGCCACTGCAGGTGCCACCCCCCACCCCACCCCCTTCCGCCCCAAACTCCTCACTATTCCTTCCAGAAGGAAGTCGGTAAATATGCTTTTCCCATGTTCTTACATTCCCAGGGATGTCTGAGTGCTCCTGATAGAACAGGGCCCATCCTCGCCCCCACCCCGGCAGAGGCCTGGCTCTAAGGCTGAGCAAGACATCCCCAAAGCACTGCTGGCTGAGAACTGCTCTTCCCGCCATCGCCAGGGCTCCCGGCAGCAGCTGCCCGCTACACCCGCCATCGAACCCGGTCCTCCTCTCGCCCAGGCACCACGACAGCGACGCCTTTGCTAAGGAGGCAAAGCTCAGCTTCTTCTGAGGATAAAGGCAGGACTCAACCCACCCCAGTGCTGCTGGCCAGGCACAGGTAGCCAAGGCGGCGCTACAGTTCATCCTGACTGCCTTGTGTCGAGGAAAATAATGCAAATTTGAAATGCACTTTGAATTTAAGACAATCACCTATGGGGACACTTATTCCAAGACTCCGATTACAGACAGAATATCTCTAATCTTTATAAATAGGGAGAGGGCACGTGACTGATTTCCCCTTCAGGTGTTGGGGTCGGCTAAAGATAGCGCAGAGCCTGAAATGGAGTGCAGAGATCGGACATCCCAAAGATCTAGCAGAAATAATGATCAAGTTGCAGCAGCTGCTAAAACCTAATGAGGTTTATTGCTGATTGCTTTTCATTATTTAAGAGGAAAAGCCACAGGACATATTAAGAGGTGATCCATGCTACAAATGTGCATGGATCGGTGTTTTTCCTGTTTACTATATATAATTTTAATGAGGAAAGGTCGTGACCTTTGCAATGTCTTTCATATTAAAATAAACGCAAAAAGCTTTTTTTTTTTTTACACTTCTATTTCCTTCCCCCTGTAAAAAGTAAAAGAGAAAAATCCCAGTATAGGCTTTTTAAAATTATTATTATTGAAGGAGCAGAAATAAATGAAAAGTTCTGGAAAAGTCTGAGTTAAAATGGTTCTGTTCCAAGCGAATGGCATTTTTTGTTTTGCAATTTTGGGACTGAAGCCCAAGGCTATTAATATTTCTACGTGATTCTGGCCTGTGCTGTTATAAATGTAAATAGAATTCCTGGTGTCTGAGTCCTCTGGCTTCTGCTCTCTGAGCGCTGACCTCTGAAGGAGCAGTTGTTCCTTCCTTGGCTCCCAGCCCCTAACCACCCCCCCAAGGACGCAGTGCATGGGATGGAGCTCTGGTATTCAGGAGGAATGGAGTGTTCTGTAAGATGATATATATTTCTGTTTGCCAAGAGCCGGGGGACTAGGAAATGCACAACTTAGTGCGACCAGAGAATTAGAGAGAATAATAGCGGCAGATGGTGAAGACGGGCGCTCTCTTTGGTCTGGGCCGGCAACTGCAGTCCCGAGGAGCCCAGTGGCTGGCCCGAGGCCGCACGCCAGAACAGAGTTGGGGCCAGACTCCCGGGCCAGTGCTCCTGCCGTCCGTCCCCGCCCCAGCCCCACTCCACGTCCCACAGGCGGGGGTGACTGCAGAGACAGTGAGTTTCCAACACACACACTGTGGGAGCAGGACCGTTCCGCACAGCACACGGGGGCGGGGGGGGGGGGTCCTCTGGGGCAGCCCTGAAAAAGCGGTCTGTCTGCATAGACAGTGCTTCCCTAGAGGGCATGTCCCAATATAGCTGCCGCACAGCAGCGGATTCATGAGCGGGCAAATAGTTATTCCCTCTTGTGACTGAACTTTCGCCACTTCTTTCACAGGACTATTAATACATAGCAGCGTGATCGGCTCCCACGGCCCTTGCCCATGACCACCTGCCACATGGCGTTCAGCATCACGCGCTGCGCTCTGCCATCAGTACATCACGGGGAGGAAAACTGGCACTGGCAAAGCAGCAAATGAAATGCGGTTGTAGGGGCTTCACCTTCTGGCAGTGGAGGAAACCCAGAAGTGATGTGAGGGCTCCAGGTACGAAGCAGTCCCGCAGCTGTGGCTATGGGACGATAAAGTTGCAAGTGCCACACTGCACGGCACAGCCAAATGGCCTGAGGTTAGCGACCCCAGGGATGGACGCACATACCAGAGGCTCACCCTGGACCGCATTCAAACCACACCTCACTCCGTTTCTCACTCAGAATAAGTGGCATCTTCACGGTGAGGTGTCACTGAAACTCCCCCTTCCATTAACACACAAAACGACAACAACAAAACTTCCACCTTTGACTCAGAACTGAAGAGTGGAGAAATCCAATCAAGCCTGTTTCAAAATAAACATTATCTCGCATTCAGACAACAGAGCCGTGTATATATATGTTTTCTGGAGGGTAGGCAGATGTTAGAAAAGTAAAACTCACATCAAAATAGCCATGGTAAAACTTAGAAGAAAAAAAGTATGTGTGGAGAAATAATCTACAAATGAATATTCAAGGCATCTCTGCTGGCTTATTCCACTACTCTTAGTGGGTCTTTCTTCTTTCTTTGTGTTACCCACTAAATTTAGCCCCAAATATGTGTCCAACAGGAAGTCCATCCAATGGGTTATGCTAGTCCCTAAAGTCAGAGCGATACTGAGCAGAAAGGACTGCCTATGTGTGTTTCTTCTAAACCATTGATGGAAGTTTCAGAGGTAGAATGCTTTCTGGTATTTACTCATCACCTACAGGTGGCCAGGCACGGTTACCTGCCCAGGGGTACGGCGAAGGACAAAACCGTGCACTTGTGCTCATGGAGCTTACCTTCTAAAGGGAGAAGACCAATAATAAAAACAAATGAACAAAAATTTATAAGAGGTGGTGTACATGGAGGACACCAAAGTTTACGGGTTTAGGCCGTCCAGGGGATACTTATAGTTTAGGGTAGTCAGAGAAGGGTTCTCTGGGCAGATTAGCGTCCAAGTGAACTGAGGAGGGAGTCCAGATCAGAAGAGCAGAAGAGTTGAGTATATAGTCCCTGAGCAGGAGTGTGGTCGTGTGTGCAACGGATAGTAAGGAAGCCCGTGGGGCTGGAGCAAAGTGTGCAAAGACAAAGATAGGAGCTGAAGTCAGGGAGATGGCAGGCACCAGATCTGCAGGTCTTTGTAGAATAAGAATAGGGGCTTTGGACTTTTTATTCCAGAAAGCCACTAGAAGGCTCCAAGCAGAGAACTAATATGATCTAGCAGATTTTTGAAAGGATCCTTTAGGTGGCAGTATTGAAAACAGTATACAGAACCAGGGATGAGAGCAGGGGACCAAGTGAGCTGACTGCAATTGTCCAAGCAAGAGACAATGACGGCTTCGACCAGGTCAATAGGTGAGCACGAATAAACCTGAGGGAGGGCAAATAGAGCAAAAAAATCAAAAGTCCAGTTATAGGCATGTTAGCTTCAAGATCTCCAAAAAAGGAAAGGTCTACTAGTCAATATGTAAAACAAAAAAAGGAATTGGTAGCAATTATATACAACTTATAAGGCACAGTCTGTCCGAGCAAAAAGCTCTCGAAGTGTTTGGGGATTGGTTGATGTTAGCCATGGAAATGTGGTCCCTAGACTGGACCTGGAACTCACTGCCTGGCTCCCAAAAGGTCATGTACTAACGGGTAGCTGTCATTTATTGATTTGGCCACATTAAGATTCGTTCCAGTGGTTACATGTGGCCCTTACAAGTGGTGCTCTCCTGGGAAGGTGAGAACATTTCAATTTCATCCCTGGTAGACATCCAAGTGATTGATTTTTGCAATCTAGACTTCCTACAGACTCATTTCCAAAATATGCCACATTTACAGCAGATATTTCAGAAGATGTGATGTAAAAAAGGCCACCAACGTGTTCTTATTAGAAAAGTTGATTGCATTTTTAGAGCAAAAAGGTCATGCTAAATAAATCAGGTGTTTCTCTTTTAATTGAAATCACAGAACCTGGTGTATATATTTACCTCCTCAAAAGGGGCAGGCAGGGCAAGAGGGGGTACCCTGGCAAGTGTAGGATAATCACACCAGGAAGAGAACAGCTAAGTGGACCCACTTTAAAATAACACCAAATATTAATTAAATAGCAGGGGACAAGTTGCAATGGAAAGAGTATCTTAAAAAATAAACTAAGGTATATTTTAGTTTACATTTAGCAAAACTTAAGTTACAATTGCAATTCTGCCCTGATAGCTGGAACAAAGCAAGAATGGATTCTGCTGACATTTTGGGGCATACTTTTCCTGGACAATCACATAACGTGACCCAACATCCTTGAGTTCACTTTGGACTTCTGCGGCATAAAGAGGTTCATTTTTGCAAGGAGATTAAAAAGAGTCACCAATTTTTCCTAAAGGCCTCTCCTAACCTTTGTGGTCCATATGTGTTTTTTTTTTGAAGTCCCACCTTGTCATTGTCTTTGTTAATACCCTCTTCTTCAATTTGTCAGTGGTCTAATTCTGCCAGTGCCTCATTAGCCAGATTCTAGCCGTTCAGCACTATTAATTTTTTTTAGTATCATCAGGAAATTCTACATCGTTATCGAGATTTGCAAGTTCATTTCACAAGTCAACTATGATATATTTGCACCATATTATAGGGCCTGCACATCATCTGGCAACCAGCAAGGAATGGACCAACAAAGAGGGAGCTCAGAGGAACAGATACACAGAAGAGATCCTTGAGTAGAAATAAATTTTATAAGTAGTTAATTAGAGGATATGTCAACTTTGTGACAATTTTTACTTTCCTATGCAATCTCATAACAACCTAGTCTTGGATATCAAGCACCCTTTGTACTTTCCCGGACAGGCAGATGAAATGGAAAGGGGGTGGATTTATTTCCTAACTAGCTGTTTCTAACTAGATGTCATCAGATAGATGACATTATGGCAGCAAGAAAAGCCGGAAGATCAAAACTTGCTTCCGTACTCTGCCCCATGCCAAGATTCATGACAGCGTCAACCAGGAGTAACCTCCACTTCAGAGCTTCACCTTCCACTTGCCCTCTGAGATCTACCATGAGGAGGTGTCTACAGCGCTTACTGCGTTACCTTATCTGACCCTGGATTAACAAGTCCCATCTCATTTCAGATGCTGCCTTGCAATCTTCACTTCTGGGAACAAGGGAGTGATCACAGGTCAGTCTTAGGAAACACACCCAGAAAGGAAGTATCTAGAAGTATGGTTTAGAGGAAGACTACAGTCAGGAAGAATGAAGTAGAACAAAAAGAACAGTATCAATTGGTCACAAACTGACAGAGGGCACGGAAGGGCTCGCGCTCCACACAGGAGACAAAATTCCCAATCAGGTATATATATTCTCAGGGTAGATTTGAATGGCATAACATTGCCCAACCTTGTCTACAACCTGAATTGGACCAAAGACCAAAGTCCACACCTCTTCAATCTCCTCCAGTCTTTAGTTGTCATAATATAAACAGTTTATATCCACCGTATTTTCCCTTGAATTGGGATAGTGGATTATTGTATTGCTGACCAGAGTAGATGCTGAGTCCCCAGAAGAAAGGGATCATGTGTTTTATTCATCTTTGTATTTTCACCCTCTCTTCCTTCCCCACTGCTTCTTCCCTCTCTTCCTTGCACAAATATATTCAATTGCAGTGATTCCAAGCTTTCCAGCTAACATTAAATCTGATGTTTGCAAAGACGCAGGATAGGAAGCTATACAAGAAAAGTCCCTGAGATGAAATTCTTCTATGTGTCTAAATTTAGAGGGAAGAGGCGGCGGGGGTGGGGGTGGGGGTGGGGAGGTAAATATGACTATCCTTGCAAGGTTATATGGGGTGAGGAACAATGGAAGACCTTTACACTTAAGCCATCTTTGACCCAACCCTGCTTTTAGAATAGAACTGAACGTAACAATCCATCAGCAGCCAAAGGATGACATAAAAGGATGCCCTTGATGTTCAACATTCCTAAATTCCTTCTCGTACTATGAAAGCAAAGAGATCTATAATCGTCTCTTCCTAGTTTGAAGATTTCCAGGGACTACTCATGTTGCAAGCCTGGAATTCCATCCAATCTAAGATGCCTCATTAATCACGAAGAATTTGAAAAGGTCCTGACAAGAGATCTCTTAACTTCAGAATTGTTAAGATCTTTTCAACTGCTGGATGCCAACTCTTGCCCAATTAGTTTCCCTAATAATTTCTGCATCTAGTGCCCTCAGAGTGGGGACACAGTGACATCTCTCACATCTTTAATTCTGGAAATATTCTGCCTTCTTCAAACTACTGACCCAATAAATGGTCTATGAGACATCCGTTGAAGACTCCATGATAGATGGACAATGAATTGAAGAATGTCACAATGAAATGGATTCACAATGAATTGAAGAACACCATTTCTAATACCATTTCAGGCATAATTATTCTGCCAGTAACCATCATTGTACTCTGTTGGAGCTCAGGGCCAAAACAGGCCAGGACAATTTCAGATCTTTTGCAGTGTTCATTAATCTATCAACAATCTGAGAATATTGTCAAGAACTGAGCAGGGACTCAGTTTCATAATCATGATAAAGGTTTTAGGCTTTTTGTATTATCTGAACCAGTCCTATAATCCTTTGCGTAGATCAAGTACAAAGGCATAATAGATGCAGTCCCAATCCTGGATTGCTTTAAACTAAACCAGTGTATGTGGCAGCCACTGTCCAATCCTATATAATACTAAATAAGCCCCTTCAAAAGATCAAATCGTTAGGCCACCTCTTAGGCATATTTAGTAGCTGATTCATCAGGGAGGACTCACTGGGATACTGTTCTACTTACAGTTAGCTATTGCACGGGACCAGGCCAGAGTCTTATTTTATTCAAGGTATTAAATTACTAATATTTCTCCTATTTTGCAAGAGGAGTAATTTTTTCCCCATCTCCCTGGGGGCCGAATTCAGTTATCTCAATCAAGTCACAAAGTGATGGGGAAGATTTCCAGTTCTTTACAAGCATCCCTTTAGCCACTGCTCATCAGGAGAGAGCTTGGGCCCCAGGAGGCAAGGTCCTATCCAGGAAAGGGGGCTGGGAGCCACCTCACATCCAGTAGCATAACCAGCTCTCACTTCAAGCAGCCCAGAATGAACAGAACGTTCAGTCGTTGCTACAATCCAGCAGTAGTCAATGGCTCACTGAAAACCCTTGATGTTTGTGAGCCAGAAAGAGGCCTTGCTAATCCTTCTCTATAGTTCCAACAATGCACTTGTGTCAGGACCAAGAAGAAAACAGAGAGAACATTTAACTTGGTCCTGAGAAGAAACATCAACATTGGGCTGTACCAGAGGTACACATTCATCCTTTCCCCAAGGTCAAGGTTGGGGCATTCCATGTTATCAGTCCTTGTAACAACTGAAAAAGCGTACTATGAGAATGTTGGCCATGGGGTTACCCAGTGTCTGTTTCCTAAGGACCCTGGCAATAAACTCGTCCTGAGTATCCAAATTCAGAGTAAGAAAAATAAGAAAAACACTGTGACATGGGCGTTTTCCCATTTTACCTTATCTGTCATAAAATGTGGTGAAATTCAGTACTTAATCACAGTGATTTTAATGAAATCACTTGTAATGTCTATTCATTTGCCTCCTTCTAAATGATATTTGCTCTATTTTATCCTTTAAGAATGTTGTATCCAATCTCATAAACTGCTTCAAACCATATACCAGAAATAAGACATATAAGGTGTCCCGTCCTTGGGTAAATTGTTGGTCTTTTCTGGGACAGTCTTACCTGCATATGAGTCTATTTTTCACCAAGGCTGTAAAGATCTCCTGAAATAGTTTATGTTGGGGGTGTTTACTGAAGTTTCTCTCATTCTTGTAGTTTATGCTGAAATGAAACAAACAGAAAAACATTTTGTAATAAAAATTATTTGGGCTGTCTCTAAGTTACCAATGCAGGCAAAGATCATCTATATTCATGCAAATATTGAAGGATTCTCAGGATTTAACACATTACTAAAGGCACATGTCCATTGTTAACAAAGGAACTAGAAATTCAGTTATAAAGTTAATAATCAAGATTACAATCAAGCATATATATTTCAGTTTACCATTTAACTAAATCATTCCCTATAAACACTTAATAGCTAAACTTGTTCAGAAGGAGGAAAAGGGTACGTGAAGAGAAAGAGTGGTTGGTGCACATTATCTAGACACTGCATGAAGCAGTAAACAATTCCCTCCCTTCATTTTTCACCCATAATCCCATTGGCTCCTAGAGCTATTAACATCAGTGTTGCTCACCATACATATTTCCAGGTAGGTAATACAGATTTATTAAGCCTAAACCCTTTTAATTGTGAAAGTTTCTGTGGTTTTTGTTTGCATATTGTGTGTGTGTGTGTGTGTGTGTGTGTGTGTGTGTGTTTAACAAAGTCTGGGGATATCTCCTTTTTGGCTTCTTTTTTCTGATATTACAACCCATTAAAAAGGTTATAAGTACCACAAAACATTCCACTTTAAAACTGGGAGAGGATAAGAGATAATGCACAAAATGGCGGCATTGCTACAAAATACATGTTATAATATTTTTGCGCATATTAAAATAGACCAATTTGAAAATCTAGGCCAATAAGCTGGAATGACACGAACACATCACTTCAAAGGCAAGTTCTATACCCTTCTATTGTTATTTGTACTGTTCTGCCTTTCAGTCTTTGATTGGTCATGGGACACCGTGTCCCTACCCTGGCCAGGTGAGGGTCATAATGCATTCTTAGTACATGCATACTGGTAGACTGAATACATAAGAATTTTTAAAGAATTTACTGTTCCTCACTAACTATAAAACACACAATGTCATGTGCCTTTTGTAGGCTATTAAATTCACTGCCGTAAAATGACAGGGAGACAAAATCTAGGTCAAATAAATAAATGATCATTCTAGAATATTCATGTTGATATTTCAGACCATTCATTATTTACACAGCACTTAGTGCCAAATGACCTCAGCGCATTGCACATTGTAAAGCCAAGAGACCCAGTTCCTGGAAGGGGAGTGGCCCACAAGAAAGTGCGACTTCTAGCAGGTCTAAAATGGTGACAGGACACGTGAATGTAGGTTGCCAGTTTCAGTGTTAAAGATGAGGTGTGATCCCTTCCACTGAAAACCTCAGTTGCTTTGACAACCACAGTGATCAGCCACCATAGCTGTTCAGAGCAAGGCTGCTTTTATGCCTCCGTATTGCGGACAAGGTACGGACATACCAAAAGCTGAAGACAAAGCCTGGAATCAGCCAAGCCAGGTCAACAACTTGGATCCATTTCCTCAGGGAACAAATGCCAGAGGCATCTCAGTGAGGTGGCCTGAAACTCCCAGGCCGGTCCCACCTGAAGCCGCTAAGCTGTTACTTACACACTATTTCTGGGAATGGTTTAAGCACTAATATTACTATGATTCCCCATGGTCAATACTGAAATGGTTTCCAATGTTAGCTCCCATGACAAACAAAGTTTGGGGCTAATTAGAATAGGTTGTTGAAGGTGAGGGAGATACTGGATTCTTACCTAAAATTTTCAAGTTCAACAGCTTCCGTGGACTCGTGCCACTGACCTCGGGTTCTATGTCCTCCCACCTTGATGGCAGGCTCAGACTTCGTCATGCTATTTGGGGCACTATCGAAGTTAATGGCTGGAAGCTACAGAAATAGAAGCACAGAGCCCACGAGGGTAACGATTCAGCACAGAATAAGGAAAATAACAAGACGGGGGAAGGGGTGGTGGGACGCTGGATAAAGGGACTGAGTTTTTCCCCAAACCAATAATTAACATGACAGCCAAGTCAAATGTAGGGGTTTTCCAAGATTTAAACATCTTTGACTTAAACATTTATTCTTTCTACCTTATGCTGTTTTATTTTTCTTCATAGCTTGTAACACCACCTGTCGTATCTTACAGTTATTTATCTATTTGCAGTCTCCCTTGATTATAACGGCAGCTCAACATGAGCAAAACTTGCTTGTCTCAGAGCACCTGGCGGTTCAGTCGGTTAAGCGTCCAACTCTTGGTTTAGGCTCAGGTCACGATCTCACAGTCAGGAGATCGAGCCCCGTGTCAGGCTCTGCACAGAGAGAGTGGAACCTGCTTGGGGTTCTTTCTCTCCCTCTCTCTCTCTCTGCCCCTCCCTTGCTTGCTCACATGCTTTCTCTCTCAGAATAAATAAACAACTTAAAAAAAAAAAGCAAGGACAACAACTAGGGGCACCTGGGTGGCTCAGTCAGTTGACTGTCCAACTTTGGCTCAGGTCATGATCTCACGGCTTGTGAGTTCGAGCTCTGAGTCAGGCTCGCTGCTGTCAGCTTAGAGCCTGGAGCCTGCTTTGGATTCTGTGTCTCCCTCTCTCCATGCTTTCTCTCTCAGAATAAATAAACAACTTAAAAAAAAAAAGCAAGGACAACAACTAGGGGCACCTGGGTGGCTCAGTCAGTTGACTGTCCAACTTTGGCTCAGGTCATGATCTCACGGCTTGTGAGTTCGAGCTCTGAGTCAGGCTCGCTGCTGTCAGCTTAGAGCCTGGAGCCTGCTTTGGATTCTGTGTCTCCCTCTCTCTCTCTCTGCCTCTGCCTCTCTCTCTCAGAAATAAACAAACATTAAAAAGAAACTTTTCAACATGTAGGGGGACTAGTTCTGAGGGTACCCCAGACTCCATGCTATGAGGAGGAGCTGCCCCGTGGAGAGGCCTCCCGCCCACAAACAGCACCCGTTGCAGCCATGTCAATGAGCCGCCTTGGAAGGGGACCCTCCAGCCCCAGTTGGTGCTGAGAGAATCACAGCTACTGGGCACCTGGTGGCAACCCCGTCGGAGACCTGAGCCAGAACCACCCAGGCAAACTGCTCCGAATTCATGACCCACAGAATAGGTAAGGGACAGTAAGCGATCGCTGTTGTTCTAAACCACTAAGTTTCGGAAGGATGTGCTATGCAGTCGTTGAGAATAAATCCACCACAGAATGAAATAAGAATCTACACGTCCATATGATGTAAAGAAATAAATGAGCAAAACATGCCAGAGAAATCTCAAACTGTGCCCCAAGTTCTGGCCGCATTAAACTGGTCACTTGCCCTGGAAACTGCCGTAGCGCTTGGCCACTCCAGGCCTGGGCGTGTGCCGCAGACCGAGTCCCGATCACATTTCAGGGCTCCGTTCAGACTGACCCCCGGCGAGCACCCGCCTGAGCCTTCCCGGCAGAGCTGTTCCCGGTCTCCCTGGCGGCGTGACCGCGCGGGCCTCCCTTACAGCACTTAGCACACCTGATACACACCAGCCTCTTGCCCCTGCCTAGGGCCACCGCGAGGGCAGCACCCCATCTCTCTGTTTGTGTTCTGAGCCCCTCTCAAGAGCTGGACACACAGGAGGTGCTCAAATGTGAGGCTGTAGAATGAACGCGCATGTTATCCCCCATCTCTTTGCTAAAGTGATTGATTGCTCACCACCTCTGGACTGAATCCATCCACTCCGCACTTTGGTTGCAGACACATCACTTAGCAGGGGTGTGATGACGCACGGGGCACAGAGGAGGCAGGCCAGGCCCGGCCTCTGCCTTCAAGGAGCTCAGAGGCCCATGGGGTAGGGGGGGTGGGGGGTAAACCAGCATGAGAACAGGCCACAAGATGAGTGAACAAGGGCTCGATGCGGTAGAAAGTGAAGGAGAGACAGTGTGGGCCGTGGAGCAGGATGCCAAGAGGGTTTCAGAGAATCCCAGACAGACGTCTACAGGCTGGAAGACAGAAGACGTCCTGAGCAGCTTGAATAGCATGAGTGGAAAGTAGAAAGACGACAGGATGAGGCAAAGAGCTTTCCAAACAATTTGACTGTGTCACTTCTGCTTGGAAATGGGAACATGCCCTATTGCCTATGGGCTCATACATTTGTAGATGGGCCTTCAGACTCTGCCCAACCTTCTCCAGCATTATGTATCACTGCTTCCAGTAGAAACATCCAGTCGCCATTTTACTTAAATGCGTGTTATTTTCCTTTCGTCAGATACCTTATGATGTTACTCAATTCACCAATACTACCGTTCCACCAATTCCACTGCTCATTTTTCAAGAGCCATCTCTTTCCCCTGTGATCTGAGCTAAAAGTGGCCTCCTTATGCTTGGCAAATTCCATACACCTGATGTCTGCACCGTTCACCCGGGATTCATGGCTTTCTTCGTCACGTCTATAAATGTCTTTCCTACACCTTAGCTCTCAGAACACAAACACAGCACCTTATACCTTTTCTTTCCACAGTATTTACCAAAACCTCTTTTATTTCAGGGCAGTTAACTGGTCTGTAATGAATTTGTTTGTTCTTTCTTCTATCTTTTGTTTTTTACATTTATTTATTTTTGAGAGCTAGAGTGAGAGGGACAGAAAGAGAAGACGTAGAATCTGAAGCAGGCCCCAGGCTCTGAGCAAGTGTTCAGCACAGACCCGACACAGGGCTCGAACCCACAAACTGTGAGATCATGACACTTAACAGACTGAGCCACCTAGGTGCCCCTCTTCTATCTTTTTTACTTACTGCAAACCAACTTCTTAGTGCCCTGTGGCCTCGGATATAGGGGGAAAAATCTGAATTCCAGTTCTTGGAAGATTACTTCGGTATTTGTGAGGTAAATATTTCACCTCTGGTGAAATCTCCAACCAACTCTCATTTCATTTTGCTTCAACAACCCTGGGGCAATTCCTTTCCTTGAATGATTTGTTCTACCAGGTGATGATTATTCTAACCTTGTTATGATGAAGGGGGCCCCTCTGCCTCCTCAGTGTGTTTCTGTCCCCAGTTCTGTCACACTGTGGGACTGTCCCACAAAACAGCAAACTCTAATGTGGTTAAGCAAGACACACAGAGATATACAGAGCCATCAAGACCAAGAACGAAAGTAGAACACTGGAACACAAGGAAACAACAGGCAAGTGGCTTGACTCATTAGAGATTCAGATAAAGGACATTCAGTTCTTTGCAATTCTTGGCCTAAACCGCAAAGTAAATTTCCTCTGCAACGGATTAATTGTCCATTTTGGTCTATTTGCAAATAACAGGCCAGGTCTTGTTAGAACAGAAATTCAGGTGAGCAAGCCTTAATCCCAATTTCCCTTTTCAAATGGACTGCTAAAAACCTCAGAGCCAAATGTGTGGTTCATTTCAATGGCCATTTCTGCCTCACTAACTCTGCTTTGTCCTTTCTTGGTCTTCTTTCTTCTTTGCCCCTGGCTTTCACTTATGATAAACTGCCAGACACTGTGTATATCTGTAAACCTCCTTACTTCTTTCTCTCACAAACAAGATATGAACAAATGCTTGATTCAGTCTCTCCAATCTTTTTCTTCTCCATTTTATTTTACTGAGATGAGGTGTTCACAAAAGCATATATCATTTCTAAATTAAGAACGCATTCAGATTTGATAAATAGAATTAGGAAAGAATTTTGCAAGCCTCAGGACCTCCATATCAGTGAGCACATTTTCATTTTTTCTTAGAACCACCAACTTTCTGAATAATTCAAGCATTACAAATATGCATTTTTGTACATGTGAAACAGTTAACAAAAAGCCAAGCCATGTGAACTTGTCATACAACAGACTGCAAATTCTGAAAGTGGTTAAAGAAGAAGAAACTATGAAATTCATGTTAGTTAAACCCCTCTGGGTGTCAACAAGGAAGTGGTGTTGAAAGGGGTTACAACAGACCCAGTGAGCATGAACTTTAAAGTTGGAAGATTAGAGGCAAAAAATATGTATATATATATATACACCACTGGGGTGTTTCTTTTACCCTGGCCACATGGTTATACATGCTCGTGATATAACTCAATTTCTAGCCACAATTCAGTTTAACAAAACCTGACCAAGAACTCACTGAACGGAGGATACAGTAAACCAAAAGCAAAGGCAAAGTTGCTGGCATTAGGAAATGTATAGTCTGGTCCAGAAATAAGACATGTAGACAAGTATTTCTAAAATGAGGAAGACTCTAAGGATACAACTGTGAAAAAGAAGGCATTTGGGGAAGAGAGAGATCACTTGGAGAAGGCAAGAGAAAAGAGAGCTTGTTTGCAGAAGTAGTGTCATTAGAGTTCGGGCTTAGATAAGATTTTTTAAGAAAGAAACTTGGAGAAGGACACGTTTGGGAGAAGAGACAGCAAAAGCAGTAAGTAGAAGTCTCTGACATCACGGTTACATCTTAGGATGGACAGTGAGAAAGAGTGGAAACTGAGTCACCTTGCTTACCTTCTAAAAAAGAATGGATATGAAATGGGGGCAACATGAAGGCTTGTGAGCAGCAAGCCAGGGAGGTTCTTTTAGCAGAGCAGAGAGAGACAAAGAGCAAGAGCGACTGCTGACACAGCTGGATGGGGAGGAAGGGGCTCCTGGGGGCCACGGCATGAAATAACTGAGAAGAAGGACTGATAGGTGAAAAGGTATTTTACAACCATGTTTACTCCAAATCAAGGATCAGCCAACTATCTTTTGAACTGGAATCTAATGTCCCAAGTCGCTTAAAAGACATCTGGGTGGGGAGAGGCATATATCCTGAAGATGTAGTGTTTGGGTTCAGACCTGTATTCCAGCCACCAGCTGGTTGTACCATCTTGAGAAAGCCACTTAATTCCCTGTGCTTCAGTTTCCTATTCTGTGAAAGCAGAAGTCGTGGTTACTAAACAGGGGGATGCAAATAAAGCACCAGACACATAGTAAACATCCCCTAACTAGGATCTATACTATTTGGCCTTTATACGCCATCAAAGGATTAGAAAGTCATCCTTGACTATAAATAAGTAGATAAAAATGTCATAGTTCTCTGTTAGTTCGATGGATGTAACAAAATCCATCAGGATTCCTACCACACAAGAGTTCTTAAACAAATTTACTTAGACTAGTATAACATAGGAGACTTCGGGGCCAGGTCACTGAGATTCAAGAAGCATCCCTACCATTGACAGTGCTAACTAAATATCTGCCATTATCATTATTATCAGCATTGTGTGCTGTTCTCCAAATCTTCACAGATGGCCTCTAATGTCATGAGTCTCCAAAGTCTTAACAGAAGTAAAACCAAAAAGAAAAGTTTAGAGATAAATTCAAGCAGAGGTACCACTCTTTCTTCATCTAATAAAAACATAAAAAAGCTGGGGCACCTGGGTGGCTCAGTCAGTTAACCGTCCAACTTTAGTTTAGGTCATGATTTCGCGGTTTGTGGGTTCAAGTCCCATGTCGGGCTCTGTGCTGACAGCTCAGAGCCTGGAGCCTGCTTCGGATTCTGTGTCTCCCTCTCTCTCTGCTCCTCCCCCACTCATGCTCTGTCTCTCTCCCTCTCAAAAATAAATAAACATTTAAAAAATTATAAAAGCTCACAGAAAAATAGCCAAATTCACTCTTTTCCCCTCTTTTTGGTGAGATACAATTTGCAGCAAACATCAAGAGTGGTACTATAAGAACTGGGCAACATGAGGTGGGCTAGGGGGGAGAAGAAAGGAAATTCAGTAACCTGTGTTTGGGAAAACATCAAATTCCCCCAAATCCAAAGAATCAAATGGTAGGCATTCAATAGAACAGTGTGCTGTTTCTAAACTGAAGAGCTTTGGTAATTAGGACACATGGCAATAAACAGAAAATAAAGCAGGTCCTAGGCATGAGAGAAGAATGAAAAGGCTGTGGATGCTGAACTCTGGCAGGACTGAACCAGAGAGGAGAGAAACAGCCAGATGAAGAAAAACAAAACATATAAAAGAACAAAGAAAAATAGGTACAATTGTTCATAAAAATGTGAAATCAATCCCTTTGGAAACATGTGAGTTTTCCTTTATCAAGGCATGCACATCCTTTGAACATACTACCTGTTGTTTGCTTGATTGAACGTTCAAAAGGCAACGAAGTCTTTTAAGATCTGAATAGTCCCTAGGAGAAAAAGTAACACAATGTCAACCAACCAAAGATTTCAGGTGAACTAGTCCCACCCACTGATGGTATGGCCCCTCGGAGGCCTGCCTGTATAGACTGAAATGTATCCATTTCCCTTTAGATCCTAAGAAATGGTTACACCTTTCAGTAACCACCATAACCCAGAGTAGCTGTTGTCAAATGTCTCCTCTATTTCCCATTAAAGAGGCATTAAATTTGGCTGCTGGCACTGTCTGAGTTAATAATTAGCAAAGACTCAGTAAGGGTTACCTGATGGTGACTCCTTGTTGCTTTTTATCAGTTGATTTTTCCGTGGTCTTCACCTTTTTGTCTTGATCAGGCATTGTAAAACATCAATGCCCCAGAATCAACATGGCATTCCTTTCAAAATAAACCAGAAAGGGAATACTTTAGTTGGGGTGTGTGCTCCAAAATATTCTCAGGCAAAATTCACTTTATAATACTTATTTAAATAGGTCAACACTAACATTTATTTCTAATACAACAATAAAAATGTTAATATGAATAGCATTCTTTATTTATCTTTCAAAGGTCTTCAGATACTTTTAGGGCATAGTTTATAGGTATCGTAGCCCATGAGCCCTTGTTTTCTGAGTCATTCTTGTTTTCAAATATTCTGACCCATTGTCCCAACACATACACATTTCTGCTTGTCAGGAAAAATGCCCCCATTAGGAGTTTCCAAAATATATATCTATAAGCAAATACCTGAAGCCCAACTAATGCTTTTATGCCATCTTACTTGTCTTTCTCGACAAGTATCCTTAAAAGTATGCTGCATATTCAAGGGGCTCCTCTACATCATGAGTGATCCTCCGAAGAGCCCCAAGAAAGCTCCAGCCATTTGCAAATAAATATTACAGTGTCAAAGGTAAGACACAAAATTTCACTGGATTTCCAGAATTCCTAAAGCTTTCAAACTGCCACCTAAGTCCCCAGGTGAGTCAAGTGCAGTCACGAGAATTCAGTGAGAATGGGGTCAGTCTTGCACAGCCTCTGCACTCACTCAAACATCCTGTCAAAAGCAAGCCAACAGGCCCAAAATGGAGTCACTTATGTGAAGCCCCAGATCACCAAACTTAATTACATTTTCAGCACTCCTAGATATGAAAACTTAAACTAGCCAATCAGGATCAGCGTTAATTAAATAATCTGCCTGATAAACCCATGCTATCCCTTTAAAGAAAAGTAACTTGCAACACCCAATCTACTTTTTGACTAGTGTAACTTCCTCGTTCTTTCTCCCTTCTGCCTATAAAGCTCCTCAGAGCTCCTTTCTATCTGCAAGAATAGATGTTATCCAATCCATGAATCGCTGAATAAAGTTAATAAGATCTTTTTTTCCAGCTGAGAGATGCATTTATTTGTTTGTTCGTTCATTTTTTGTTTGTTTCAGGAGTAGAATTTAGTGACTCATCACTTGCATATAATACCCAGTGCTCATCCCAACAAATGCCCTCCCAATGCCCATCACCCATTTAGCCCGTCCCTCCTGCTACCTCCCCTCTGGCAACTTTCAGTTTGTTCTCTGTCTTTAAGATTTACTCGTTTGAAGTTTGTTTTTAAACATTCCGGACGGTGAGACTGGCCAGCCTGGGAATACAACCCACTAGGCATTTCAATCTTCTGGAGAAGTTTGGTTGTCATCATGTTCACTCTTCCGAGGATAAATTTTAATACTGTTTCCCACTTCCTCTCAAAAGATAAGTAAGAGATAAGGCAGATTATTTAACCAATGAACAGAAGACAACTTATTTGTTTGCCCTTTTTCCTTAACCAATTTCTGATTCAATTGTTTTAATTTCCAGAATAGAAACAAAAAGTTGAAGATACCTGTACTTTCAATTACATAGCGAATACAAAAGTAAATATACTATCTGTTTAATTTGATTAGATGTAAAATTTTCCAACTGTGCTTTAACACCACAACTTGACTTCAGTGGTATTTTCAGGCATGAAAAAGCATGTGTTATTATAATTGCATGCCTCCGTGTATTGTGAAATGGATGGTCAAAATCCAAGTGTTTCAGAGATATTTAAAGGCTAAGTGGGATGTGCCAATGGGTGTTTCACTGCAGCAGAATGAAGCAAAATGTACAAAGACAGTTTGTCTAAGGATTTAAAAATTATTTTTCCAGTATAGTTGTACTATTTATGACAAAGTCAAGCGGGAATTAAGAGCTGGGGACCAAGGCTCTCTTCACAGATGCACACCAACAAAAGCACAATAATAATATTTTAGGATTGTGCTTAGGACATAATACCATGGACTTATACAATCAAGAAATATTTACTGAGGAAACTAATTTGACAATAAACTATTTGTAAAAAAAAAAAAAAAAAGAAATATTTACTGAACATTTTCTATGTCCAATCTCAGACTGAAAACTGCTAAAAGATAAAACAGGTTACCACAGACATACGATTCTACCCTAAGCAAATAAAAACCCACTTAATGACTTCACAATATGTTTTGTGATGTATTCAGATAGAGATCTGACTTCATGTTTCTCTAAATAAAAAGAAAGAAGGAAGGGAAGGAGAGAGGGAGGAGGAGAGACTGGAAGAAAGGAAGAATGGATGACAGATAATCTATAAATAATCTTTAAAAGCCCGAGGTCCAACTGCTTTTTATATAGAGATATTAAAATGCTCCCAACTGTGCTAAAATAAATGGAAATCCAGTCAAAATGAATAGAATCTGATTTTACTTTTCCCTCAAGGACACAGGGCTTGTCCCTGTCCACACTGAGCTGCTGGTTTCCAGTTCCTGTGCAAAACATAGCTATGGGCTATGTTAGAAGCAGGAAATGAAAGCCGCAAAGATTGGCACATGAAAACATGTGGGAAGGCTCTCTGGCTGCTTCTGCCAGAAAGAGAGTGTATCTACCCAGATCATACCCACTAAACACACTGTCGTATTCCCTTGCTTAATCTCCATAATTTGACCCGGTGTGTGAACAGGAAATAATCATCTAATAGCTTTATCAATTGAAGATTAAGGTCTAGTCTGTGAGCTGGAAGAGTGAGAATAGATAAATCTCTGGAAATGTTTCACTTAATTAAACAGTAAACAAATCCACTGGAATCCGTACAAACAGACAATTGCCTTAGGATAAAAAAAAAACCACAAAATCCTTTCCACTTGATGGCTGTTGAAATGGAAACTATTCTGAAGAAAACTTTGAGAAGTTGAGAGTGCTCTGAAATATTTAACCTAATCCCAGTTTAAATGAAGAAAAATGATCATGTTATATCAGTGGTTACAATGCAAATCTGGGGATGGCGGAAGGGCAGCTTAAATCAAGTCACGACAACTTATTGAGGAAGAATCCTCCAGAAGGACCAAACAAGGGTGCTACCCACAGCCAGAGCGCTCCAGGGGGCAGCCCAGTGTCAGTCCCAGGGGGCTCAGGACTAGAGCTCGTAGCTCAGAACTGTCTAAGCCTGAGGGAAGGGAGCAGGCTTTCATGTCCCCGGAGCCTTCCCTCATTAGTTAAGGGACCCTGAAGAAGGTCTTAACTGCCGCCCAGGAAAAGAGACTCCAGGAGCTTGGGGGGCATCCTCCAAAACAGAGAACTGGCTGGAAGAAGCAAAGGAATATTGAAGGCAACACCCAGACACACCAACAGTCTGAAGGGACGTGAGAGGCTCTGGGTGGGAAACTCACATCGTCCCTACGTTCCCACAAGGGAAGAGCTGTGGGTGATGACGGAACAAGAATCTTGCTGTAGATACATACTGAGCACAGCCTCCAATTTCCCTCCTTTGCTTGACTTCTCCATGACTTCCACTCCTCTGAGCCTTCCACCCTCTGCCTCTCATGGCATTTCAGCCCCCGAGTCTTCTCCCTGGCTTGTGAAGGTGGCAACCTCACTCCTGCCTGAAAGCCTTGGCACTTGCCACTTGCTGTTCCTCTCTCATTCTCTGGCTGGCTTCTTTGTGTCATTCGGGTCCCTGCTCAGACATCGCCTCCTTGGTGCGGGCTCCTGTACCACATATTCACCCCCACAGATGCATCCTTACTGCATCACCCTGTTTCATCTGCTTCTGCAGCTCATCAATGTTGGAAATCTTCTTGTCCATTTCCTGGCTTCCTTGCACTAGATTGTAAGCCCCATGCGAGCAGAGATTGTATCTGTCTTATCCACAAGTACATCCCACACACACCAAATAGAAAACGGCGTGATACAAGCACAATACTAAAGCTCAAAAAATTGTGTCACAATCTGCAAGGAGTGGCTAAGGAATCTTTACCAAAGTTCATGAATTATTTGCTTTTTAACAATCATTTTAGGATCTTTGGATTAGAACCTCCTTTAACCCCCCACGCCTGGTGCTCCTCCTCAGTGTCCTAGGGCAGCTTGGACTCCCCACATCACAAATCTGTGCACAAAATACTGCAGTTGCCTGGTTACCCCATAAAACAGGAATTGGATCTCCTTTTTTTTTTTTTTTTTTTACAAATAGTTTATTGTCAAATTAGTTTCCACATAACACCCAGTGCTCATCCCCACAAGTGCCCTCCTCCATGCCCATCCCTCCTCCCCCCCTGGATCTCCCTTTTTAAAAAAAATTTTCTAATGTTTATTCATTTTTGAGAGACAGAGACAGAGCACAAGCCGGGGTGGGGCAGAGAGAGAGAGAGGGAGACACAGAATTTGAAGCAGGTGCCAGGCTCCGAGCTGTCAGCACAGAGCCTGACACAAGGCTCGAACCCATGAACTGTGAGATCATGACCTGAGCAGAAGTGGAACACTTAACTGACTGAGCCACCCAGGCGTCCCTGGACCTCTCTTATTCATGACACACAAGGAAGGCAAACAACAAATATTTACTGTATAAAAAAATTAATGGGTCAATGGAAAATAAAACTATTTAAAAAACAAACCTGTGTCATTATCCTTTAATTCAAAAATCTTTCATCAAGCTTCCTCATAACTCAAATCAACTTAATGCTATATAAATCTTGAACACCCTGAGGAATGATCTCAATTATTCAGTCTTCAGCAGGGAAATTAGGGTTCTATAGAAGATAATATTCATGCTTTTCAAACAACCCATGAAGTGTTTTCAAAGTTATAATCTATCGTGGACCAATACTTTTGGTTCATATGCTGTTCCACAAGATAAGTCCACTGATCGATCATGTGCTTAGATATCTGAGCGATGTTGAATTGCTGCAAATATTTTTTTTTTAATTTTATGTTTTTTATTTATTTCTGAGAGAGAGAGAAAGAGAGACAGCGTGAGCAGGGGAGGGTCGGAGAGAGAGGGAGACACAGAATCTGAAACAGCCTCCAGGCTCTGAGCTAGCTGTCAG